GTTCTCATTTTATGGTGTTCCGCATCAGATGGACTTAACTGTATTGTAGTCATAAAGTAAAAACTCTACAAACGGGATATTTTTCAATCACAACGAATTTATTAGAAAATTTAAAAAAACATCACAACACAACCATTCATTTCCCACTATTTGATCTTATCCAGTGATTGAGAGACTCCAGATGGGGAATATTCTACTCTTTGGGGAATTTTGTATTTATAAGCAAAACTCCGTGGGAATAAATGTTTTTGGGAATTTATCAATATTCTTTATTGCACAGATAATATAAAGATATTACAATTTAGAGACAATGTGAGCAAAGGTGGACTTATCCCTAGAAGAGATCTCTTCCAGTCAACCTAAAACAGTGGGATATGTGGTATTTATGTGGGGAAGAAAATTATTTCATTTATATAAATGATCCAGCACATAGCTCTAGTTCTGTTGGTCGCAGGTTGATTTTCTCAAGATACAAAAATTCATATTCATGAGTATGATTATTTATATTAGAGTAAGTGTTTTCTTTATTTAATAATAGAAATACTAAAATATATATTCTTTATTAAATACATACATATTCATATTATGTATGTATTTAGAAAGAAATTTATATTTTAGTAATTGTATTATTTGTTTCATAACTCCTATATCATATAGTGTAGTGTCAATAGTATAAGCTCTAAGTTTTGAGTGAATCGTTAGATTTATTTTTATTTATATAGTATTATATATATTTGTACATAATACAAATCTAAGTTCAAAGGGCTCCTTATCTGTTTATACGATATAATTTCGACAAATATTATTATCTACTTAATCATTATGAATGTTTGTTTTTGGTAAATAAAGTAGTACTGATAATATATTTAATTGAAGTACAATAATGCTACCACAGAGTTCAGTAAACAATAGCATATTTAAGCACTGTATGTATTGTAGTTTATCCCGAATATATATACAGAATGGTTAAATATTAATTTATAAAAGTCTTAAAATTTAGTTAGTTAATACGAGTATTTTAGAAAAGAAGCTGTAGTGAAAACTATTCGTATATTTGTCACACTACTCACTATACATTATACATTTATACACTCAGGGATCATCATAATCTCATAAAATGTCAATAAATATTACATATTCTATTATCTATTAACAAGGGGTGGCCACAGGTTCACCCGCGAGAAATTTATAGTCCATGTGTTATTTTGATGTAGCTAACATTATTGTAAAGTATTATTAAAATGCATTCAGCAGTTTTTGCGTGTAAGAGTAACAAATATCCATGCAGTCACACTAACAAACATCCGCGTATATAATAATAATAATAATAATCTCAGGACAATTCACACAGCGCCATCTAAACCCAAGTTAAGCTAGCTAAAGCTTGTGTTATGGGTACTAGATTACTGATACAAATACATGGATAATTTTTTTTTTCGTAAATACATACATATTGTACATAGAAAATACCCAGACTGATACAAACAATTATACTCATGAATACAAATGGTTGTACCGTGCGAGGAATCGAACCCACGACCATCGGGCTCAAATAAAATAATATAATATTAATATGTAATACTATGTTATCTGTGATATTAGTAAGATCGCAAGAAAATAATTTTAGGGTCTAGTAATCATAGTAAATTATTAATATTATGACGACCTCGGTGGTCTAGCGGTCAAACACACCGTTTTACGACCGATGGTCGCGGGTTCGATCGCAGGAAAATATATTGTATTCATGAGTATGATTTTTTGTATCGGTCTGGGTTTTTTCTATATATAATATGTATGTATTTACAAAAAAAAAAAAAAAATATCTATGTATTTGTATCAGTTATCTAGTACCCATAACACAAGCTTTAGCTAGCTTAACTTGGGTCTAGATGGCTCTGTGTGAATTGGCCTGAGATTATTATTATTATTATTATATTAAGAAAGAGCATAAATAAAAATAAAATTATTATTATATAAATATTGTTATCCTAGCTGAGCCATCAACTTCAACTGCATCACACTTATCATACCGCCCTTTTTACATAATATATTTTTAAATTATAGTCTATGCATTCTTCTCATGTATAAGCAATGTTACAGTAAAGTTTTATCAAAATCCGTTCAGTAGTTTTTGGGTGAAACAGTAACATTCAATACTCACAAAGTTTTGCATATATTATGTATTATTAAAGGATAACAAGATCTTTTGATAATTTTGATTAATTGAAGATATTTTGTTTGACTTGACTAATGTAATGTGTATATCTGTTTTTATTTTTGTTTTTATTATTACAGTACCTTGTGTGTGTGTGTGTGCCTTTAACGTGAATAAAAAATCTTATTAATCTATATATCTTATTTAATTACTTTTTTGTATGTATCCGTATTCTATTCCATTTTCTACTATTACCTTTTTACCCCCATTTGAGATTTTAAAACCAAAGTTCACTGGATACATCTATGAACCCCCTGTTGTTTTGATTGTAATTATCTCTAATTTAGATTACTTTATTTTAAGTACAAAAAAAATGTGATAACAATAATTAAGTGGCAGATATTTTAGCAATAAATTAACTTGTTGATTATATGAATGGCGATTGTACTAAATCTATATAGAAATTCAGGGTGATATATATGTGACATCCTAGTCCCCGATGACTATAGTTCAATTCGTGTAAGTATATATGCGATGATTATCCGATTCAGATAGATATATTATATATTATTATAGATAGATAGAATATACTTTATTGGCAACATACAGTAAAGAAGAGGCATAAACAATTTAACTATTCAGGTTATTAGAAATAGATTTTTTAATATACATATTTGGAATGACAATTGAGTGTATTGAAATGATCAAGTAGGTATTCATTGTTAATTTCAATGCATTCATTATAACTTAACTTACACCGATCCCAAGTAAATAGGATAAGGAAGAAGCAGATGATCATGGCAGCTTAACTTTAATTTGATAATGTATGGTACGATATTTAATTATAATATTTCCAATTAAAATCTATGTTTAGTATCTCGACTTGTAATTGAGTGATCACCAAAACATTGTCGTTATTTTTTTAATATATAAGTATCTATTGCATTTTTGCCAAGAGAGCCGTGCCTGATACTTCTAAATACAAATTATTGATTAACCTATGTATCTAAGAAGTCTACCTGTTATCTACTTTCATTAGTATTAGATATAGTTTTATTTTAAAATCTATTGTAACTACAGTAACCTGTTTTGGATAACTTTCAATCTCATCCCACCATCATCATCATCATCATCGTCATAGACTAATGCGCCACACAATTATCGTGCACTGGAAAGAGCTACATCTTTAAAATTACTTGCTCATTTTATTACGTATTGAATGTAAATTCTACATATTAAATTGATGTTTTAATAATTTTATCATACCAATATCTCACGCCGATATAGCCTGGTATTTCCATTTATCTTCGGCTTATCAATTTACTATCGCGCTAAAATATATCTCGTTCTACATACTTCATAGATAAGCAAACAAGTGTATCTGAGAAAATATTTATTGCGTAAAAGTGTTTCGAAATGAATAGATTCATATAGGCTAGAATATATATATAGTCTAGATGAATAAACTCAAAAAAAAACATTCATGAATGAAAATCTTTTTATTGCTCGTATCATACAAAAAACATTTCATAATGTAATATGTATACAAATATATAATAAAATTGACGTGTGCTGCTCATTATTATTAGTTTGTTATGTCATTTCCATTATTATTACGATTTTTTCATTATATTTTAGCGTCACCTCACTCTGTCTTTTCTTCTCTTTCTCTTCTGCATAAAGGTTGTTTGGAAGAGATTACATGAGCGATAAGGCCGCCTTTTCTACCTATTACTATTTCACATGAACTGAAAATTAAAAAAAATAAGACAATTCTAATTCGTTACGCTATACAGATCATCGCGAGATGAACTGTGCACGAGATGATATGTAGAGCAAAAAAAGATATTTACGTTCACTATGTGATCGCTCCACAGTTTCAATGATGTTCGAATAATAAAATTTTTGTTTTTCAACTGACTGGAATTGAACCAACACTAAATATTAAGCGAACCTTGCTTCATTACATTATTGATAACAGCAGATAAAAATTCACAAACTTTTTTGGTTATAAATTGTTTTTGTAAATAATGTAATATTTAATGTAGATACAGAAATATTAATAGGTACTATTATTAAGAAGTACTTAATTATTAAACCTTATATATGATGTTATAAGGTTTTATAATTAAGTAAACCATTATTGGCAGATAAATAGTGTTAGTTGTATGGCGTTATTATTAAAGATGTACTATATATATTATTTTTTAAAAGATTAGAACTAATTGAACAACAATTATAATAATAAAAATGTACAAATTGAGTTTCTTGCCAGATGTCAGCTAAAGTTAAAGCTAGCCGATGCAAATGATAGAGACAATGATAAAAAAATATGACTTGCAAAAGTGGTTGGTAGTGTCTTATATGAATAATATTACCTTGACTACTTATGTATTATATGTATGACATAGTATGTTTTATTTGAACGCATCAAAGAAAAAGAAAATTGGAGGGATGGATGAAATAAGGTCAGTTAGTCCACCATAGCAAATTCACAGGGAATTAATAGTTACATAGGGATGAATTAACAATTAATTCAATGCATGTCAACGTCGTAGTCTAGTGGTTTACTATCCAACATAAGGTCGAAAAAATGAATTATAACAAATATGTATTTTTTTTATTTCTGACAAATCTCTCCGAAGAAGCCAACACCGACATAAAAAAAAGTATTACGAGAGACGTGCGGTAGAATTGCCAACTGCGGTTTCGAATTTGAAGCATAAAGTGGGCATATCAAGTGTTACGTCATTGAAAGCGACTGATTTGAAATAACAGTAATTATGTATATATATATATACATATATGTATATAGTACTGATTGAAGTTTGAACTTTTTTTACAGATGTTATTCCTCGTATTCCTCAGCATATTGGGCGCTATCACCGCCGTACCCATAGCTATTGAAGATGTAAGAGCCAACTCTCAGAACCCCTATGCACTTCCAAACACATCCTTCCCCACTTTCTACGATGTCCGCTTGTTCTTCGACCCAAGCAATGAGAATTATTTCAACGGAATTGTCACTCTTAGAGTTATCCCTCGAACTAATATAACCGAAATAGTCCTCCAAGCTATGGAACTAGAGATCGAATCCGTTACAATTTATCGTGTCACTGATTTCGATCGAGAAGAGGATTTATTCGAATCGTACAGCTATTCGAATGAAACCCATTTGCTGAGACTTAACTTGACCAGGCAAATTGGACAGACTCAACCGCATGAAGTTAATATCAACTACGTTGGCCATTATGCAGACAATATGTTTGGAGTTTATCTGTCTACTTATGAAGATTCAGAGAGAACTGTGTAAGTATTTTTTTTTGTGTTTGATACGATAAATAAGCTGACGCTCTACTTGATGTTAAGCGGTAATTGTCGCGTATATACGTGAATAGCACTGCCACATCACGTGATGTATTTAATACCACACGTTGCCTTTCCAGAGATCTAAGGACAAAGAGGTTATGCTTGTTGTAATGTAATCTATACAAAGCAGTAATATTATTTTGCTAAACTATATAGCTATAGACTTTGAACAATGCCGTCTGCGTAGTTATTTCTGTCTTACCTATTTCGTCAAACAGCTTGTTATAAAGAATGACATAATTCAAATAGCATAACATAGCTTATAAAGCTGTTTGGAGGCAAAAATTTTGTGTGTTCGAATTTGTGCAGTACAAAAGTCACGTGATATCACAATTTGTCGTCTAGCTCGGCCACATAACGTGTAAAATCTATTGCACCCTTACTATATTCTATTCTATGAATAATTTATTGATTTAAACTACAACCACTAGAATAGTATCCTGCTTTCACTTGTAGCTCTTTTGCCTAAAAACAGTATCTACTCAAGTAACTAAATTAAAAAAAAAACAGTAAGAAGTTGCATAGGAATAACGATGCATATATTGCGTAGGAATGACGAAAAGTTAGTAGTAATCACAGTATTCAAAAATTTTAAACTAAGAACACATTCTATTCGACCAGTTTAGCGATGTGCATTGTGTGTGATGTGCAATGTGCATTTTGGCGCCAAAATAAAGTTGCTTCTTAATTCAAATTCTTATTAAAAAATAGTATAGTATTGGCGCGTAAATATCTTCTTGAGATATGTTTATTTTGTGTATCATTTAGAAGAAAATATCGTTTGTTTTATACTATACGATACGCCATATTTTCAATATTTTTTTACTTTCAATGATTTAAAAGATACTTTACGAATATTTAAGTTTGCCTCAATTAAAAGAAGAATATAATTTTTATGTTAAATAATGAAGGATCTTCTTTTTAAAACTATTGATATGCATAGTAATGTAATATTGAATTGTTTGTATGAATATTATGTCTTTATTTATTTTTGAATTAATATGTGCGAAGGATACCAATCTATACAAAATATTACTGGCAAATAGGCCGTCAGGAAAAATTTTAACTCAGATTCATACAAAAGTATTTTAGTCTTAGTGATAGAAAGAAATTAGTATTAATACTCTGTGGTCTTACGTTATTATTGGCAAATATAAAAGCTTAAAAAAATCCTTTATTATTAATTTCTTTAAAGATGATAGGATTCTGTTTTGATATAATCAATACAGATTACAGATTATACGACCTTGGTGGTCTAGTGGTTTAGCACACTGCTTTACGTCCGATGGTCGCGGGTTCGATTCCTCGCACAGCATAAACATTTGTATTCATGAGTAACATTGTTTGTATAGGTCTGGGTGTTTTCTATGTATAATATGTATGTATTTACGAAAAAATATCTATGTATTTGTATCAGTTGTCTAGTACCCATAACACAAGCTTTAGCAACCTTAACTTGGGTCTAGATGCCTTAATTATTATTATTATTTATATTGACATTGTTTTTTCTAGAAAATTGGTGACCACACAAATGCAGCCGACTTTCGCGCGCAGGGCGTTCCCTTGTTACGACGAGCCAGGTTACAAAGCTATCTTCCGAACTACTCTTTACGCACCTCATGCTTACCCCGTCGTACTATCCAATACTCCAATTAGAAGCCGACTAAACCAGTGAGTATAGACTAAAAGCTTTATTTTTTTAAAAAGATGCATTATTTATTTTACTTTACAAAAACAAAGTAAAAATATAAAAAAATATAACTTATCCTCTCTTTTTATACCGCATCCATTCTCATGATTATAATCTATCTTCATATCAAACATCATTAAGACCTGTTCAGCTGATTATTTCTGAAACATTAACAAGAAGACAGACAGAGATACCTTCGTTTTAATATTAGTATGAGCGTCATGGCCAAGTAACTATGAATTATAAGGAAGAGGTAGTTAGATCGAATCTGTCAGACACAAAAATAAAATCGATTGTTTATGTTGGTCATACTATTTTCTAAGTAGGTATATTAAGCATATTTATAAAAAAAAAGTATCTAAGTACATCTATCACTTGTTTAGTACTCATAACACAAGCTCTGCTTCTATTGAGATTACATGGCAACGAGTAAATTCAGACTTAATTATCAATACATAAAACTAATAATTATAGTAGACATATATATTGTTCCTATTTTAAATAAAGTAAAGGCAGTTGAAAATTAAAAACTAACTTTTTTATTTACATTATCTGGTTTCCGCTAGATTACATGTCGCTAGTAATAGAACCAAAGAGGTTCTAATAAAAATAAATCGTTTTCAGCCCAGAAGTAATAGGATACGCGAAACACGAGTTTGAAGATACACTACCGATGTCAACTTACCTCTTGGCTTACCTCGTGTCAGAGTTCCAGTATATTGGTAACGTCGACAGCTATGGCAACGTAACACAAGACGCCATATATAACATACCGTTTAAGGTATTCTCACGACCAGGAACTCAGGACACTGCAGAGTTTGCGCTGGACTTCGGCCAGAAGAACATGGTAGCCTTCGAGAATTATACGGAATTCCTATATTCGTTCCCCAAACTTGATAAAGCCGCTATACCCGATTTCACTGCCGGCGCTATGGAAAACTGGGGATTAGTACTGTACAGGTATGTTGTATAGTATTCACTTAATTAGTATCTATCTCTATGTTATCTTCTATAATAATAGAAGAATTATAATAACACCGGCAAAAGCTGCGATAATAGCGAAAATAATAATAATAAAAAGAAGGGCTACTTTTTTTTTCCGAAATATGAATTATTTTATATGAAATAAAGGTATTAACCTCTCTCGACGTTTCGACTAAGTTGCACTAGCTGTGGTCACGAGTTGACTGAAGTAATAACATTATTAATGTCGGTAGGTAATTTAATTGGACAATCTAGTGACGGTTAGTAGTTGAAAAAACTGTTGGCACCTACTGCTGTAGACATAGCTGTTACTCGAGTCAACTCATGATCATGGCTAGTGCAAGCTAGTCGAAACAGCTAGAGAGGTACCTTTAATTAGCTCTAGCTGTACACGTGATTTTTCTAAAATAATAGAAATATTCTAAAATAAAAGAAGCCTAAGTTACTTTAGTTATCTGCCAATAAAAGTCAGACAGACATATAAAAATTGTAAAAAAAGTTTATTTTGGTGTATGTACCGTATTTATATTCATAAGCTACATGCTTATGAATATAAATACGATACATACACCAAAATAACGATTATTTCAATATTAAAAACAGGCACTCTAATTTTATTTATATGTATAGATAAAATTATTCATATTAGGACAGTTAACAATATACTTTATATGTATTAACCACGAAAGTTTTAAATAAACCAATGGTTTACATAAAATTTACAGGGAAGCAGCTCTTCTGGTGACCGACGGAGTTACCACAACGTCCACCAGACAGAACATTGGTAGGATCATCTCCCACGAGAATGCTCATATGTGGTTCGGGAATGAAGTCAGCCCCGTTAGCTGGACTTACACTTGGTTGAACGAAGGCTTCGCTAACTTATTCGAGAGTTTGGGTACAGACTGGGTAAGTTGGCTATTCTGTTTATGATATATCAAATTGCTGCATTTGTCTAATACACAAATTATAAAAAAATATTACTACATTTATGCTATGTCAAATAGTTCATGTGGCGTACTGTGGTACACAAATTATAAAAACATATTACTTCGTTTATGCTGTGTCAAACAGTTTATGTGGCGTAATATGGTACACAAATTATAAAAACATATTACTACGTTTATGCTGTGTCAAACAGTTATAGTGGCATAATACACAAATTATAAAACTAGCTGTTCTCACGACTTCGTCCGCGTGGAATTTAACTTTATTTACCTAAGTTACTCCTTATTACATCAACTATCTGCAAAAAATGTCCCGTCAAAATCGGTCTAGCCATTTCAGAGATTAGCCAGAACAAACAGACAGAGAGACAAAAATTGTAAAGAATGTTATTTTGGTGTATGTACCTTATTTATATTCATATGCATGTAGTAAAAAACTGTTATTTCAATATTACAAACAGACACTCCAATTTTATTTATATGTATAGATGTATATACATATAAATAAAATTGGAGTGTCTCAATTTTATTTATATGTATATGTAAACAGTCCCAGTCAGACAACTAATACAAATATATAGGTATTTGTATCAGTTGTCTAGTGTCCAGAACACAAGCTTTTGCTTGGTTGGTTGGCTAACTTGGGTCTAGATGGCGCTGTGTGAATTGTCCTGAGGTTATTATTATTTTAATGACCATGACTACTCAATACACTCGAACTACTTAACTCCTTCAAAACTCCAACCTTCACGCCCTAGGAATTGCAGAATACCAGTGTCAGTATTGTTACAGGTGCTACCAGAATGGCGTATGATGGATCAGTTCGTGATTGCGATGCAGAATGTGTTCCAGTCGGATGCTGTATTGACTGTCAATCCTATGACTCATGTAGTGCGCAGTCCATCGGAAATATTGGGCACTTTCAATGCTGTTGCTTACCAAAAATGTATGTAATTGTATTATAATTTATTACGGTCGGACTTGATGGTCTAGCGGTTTAACGCTGTCTTATGTTGGTCGCGAGTTCGATACCTCGCACGGTACAAATATTTCTATTCATAAGTATGATTGTTTGTGAGTAATTCAATTGAGTTTCTTACCAGTTCCTCTCAATTGAATCTATATAGATACTGAATTGGACGGTGGGGAAAAAAATATTCATATGAGGCTAAAATGTCCTACAATGATTTTTTATTTTGAATTTATATTGTACCTACATACGTGTACTTTGTATATATATTATGTGTAACTAATTATTTACAAAAAAATAATATTTATGCGTTTAAATCTGTTGTTTAATACCCATAATACAAGCTCTATTCAGCTTGGTGTCGTGAATTGTCCTCAGATATTATTATTATTAATGAAACGCCACATATCGTGGTAATTTAATAATCTACATACATCCATACGATCTTATAATGATATTATAGAAACGAAAATAAGATAAACTGTATAACCAGGACGGATATTGGCTGTCGTTTATTTCAAGAAAAGTAGACGTAGTTATGGATAAATTTAACTTTAATTAACACATTTTCTAAAATTAGACTTTAATGTCAATAATTTAATGTGGCTTTTCCAATTTTGGTAATTTCTGAGATGTTTTGAATAGATTAACCATTATTATACTAAGTATAGATATACTTTCATAGATATGAAATGTTCTTTTTTCTTAAACGAACACTTATTGCTCTGACTTCAAAATAGAACAAAACTGGAACTTTCTGGTTTGAAACAGCGGGAATATCCTACTGAAAACGCGACGGATGGTCACGTTATCAATACATTATTACGATTACTATCAATATCATCTTTTGAGTGTTTTAGAGGTTGTTATCAGTAAAAATATGATTCAGATGTACCAACCTTTATCGATATTGTGAAATTGACAACACTCATCTTTGTGTGATGCATGAATCGTCTGTGTTACTAATACGGTTTAAAAGATTTTACACGTCACAAAAACAGTCTCGGACGCCAAAAAAGAGGTGTTTTTCAAACTCCTAGTTTCAACCTATATTTCTTACTTATTATAATGACATCTTGTTTCAATAAAGTGAAAATATAAAATAGAGTTAAAAAAAACTTATTTTAGATTTTATGATTTTACATCAGAAACATATTGTAGTCATTACAACAATGCAATCGATTTAAGAATCTCCATATTTTTTTTAATCGATTATTAAATTTCATCACTAATCACTAGCGACCGTCATATTTGAACTTACTCTCGTTTTATGCATATCATCTTTCACACAATGAATCTCATGAATTCTATCTTCCATAAAAAAAATAATCTCTGACATTCTCAATTAGCCATGAATATATATTATATATTACGGCCCGCGAGCCAGCTGCAGAGCAGCAACAGGTCGAAGTGACCTAACTGGTTAAGGTAGTAATATTATTATTACAAAGTAGTCCCAGACAGCTCGGTTTCAGAGGAGCTTCTACCCGCGTACACTTACATTGTGGAATGAACTACCTGCCGATGTTTTCTCGAGAGCCTTCAATATGGAGTTTTTCAAGAAGGGTATATTAAGGTTTCTTATGGGTTTGAAACGTGATACTGAAGCTTACTTGATATTTAAGCGTCCAAAGGAGACAGTAACCGTTTACTATCAGATGGGCCGTATTTGTTTGCTACCATTGTATTATAAACAAAATGAAGTATATAATTTCAGCCGAGAGGAAATGACTGCCGAAATTAGACTCTGACTCGGGTACTATTATTATTATATTTTTTTATGGATGATAATGGAATGGTGCACCCGCCTGCGCTAACTGTTTACGCTGGCGGGGCACCAGTGGAGGATGATGAGATGAGCATAAGGTCATGTCAGTTAGACGGTTTCCAGGGGAATCATGTGGAGGTCAACCTGACATGGTACATTGCTAGCAATAGATTTAAAAATAGTCCACATTACTAACAATCCCCTAGCCCCCCCCCCCCCCTCCCTATATTCATTGCTGTATTTTACATTTAACACTTTGATTTCAGCTGGCTCTGTTATACGCATGACGCAACATTTCTTGACCCCCGAAATATTCCAGTTGGGACTGATCAAATATATAAAGGACAAGTAAGTGCCGTATATATAAATAATTTTCATGAAATAACACATTTTTAAATAGCATAAAATGACGATCTTTCCACTGTTGTTCGCTTAGATCTTTGAAACTACGCAACGGATTTTATTGAATTTTTAATTCATAGGTAGATCGATTCACGAGGACGGTTTATATCTATAACTAGCTGTACTCGCGACTTCGTCCGCGAAGAATTTAACTTTATTTTTCTAAAATAAAAGTAACCTGTAACTTAGTCTACTCCTTATTACATCCGCTACCTGTCCATAAAAGTCCTGTCACAATCGGTCCAGCCATTTCAGAGATTAGCCGGAACAAACAGACAGACAGACAAAAATAGTAAAAAATGTAATTTTGGTGTATGTACCGTATTTATATTAATATGCATGTAAAAAACGATTATACAAATCAATCAATCTCAATATTACAAACAGACACTGCAATTTTATTTATATGTATACCTGTGTAAAGCTGAGGTGGGTAGTTAGTAATCTATAAAATACATAAGTACGCAGAGGTTCTTTTTGAAAGATTTTTGACTACCTGCCGGACGTTGTGCTATAAAAAATTGCATTCGAAAATTAACCTCTCTAATATTACACGCAACTTTCTTATTATTTCTTTCATAGGAACTTTCTCCTGATAATAACGAATACGACGATGATACGTAAAAATGTATTGAAGTGTTTATATCAGTTGTGTAGTACCCATAACACAAGCTCTGCGTACCGTGGGACTAGATGGCGCTGTGTTAATTGTCCAGGGGTAATTGTTTTTTTTTTCAGCGCTCGTAAAGCTGCGGTTCCCCAGGATTTGTTTACGGCTCTACAGGAGGTTGTAAATGAATCGAATTACACAATACCGTTCTCCATCACTGAGATATTAACAAGGTGGACCACACAGGGCGGATTCCCAGTCATGAACGTCAGGCGGTCTGCACCGCTAGCTAACTCCTTAACTTTAGATCAAGTAAGTTTTATTTATTGTATCTTTCTTAGGGATGATAATGGTTTCTTAAGGGTCGGCAATGCACATGTAACTCTCCTGGTGGTACAGGCATCCATAGATTACGGTAACCGTTTACCATCAGATGGGCCGTATGCTAGTTTACCACCTGGGTGATATAAAAAAATGGAATAGTGCACCCGCCTGCGCTAACGGTTTACGCTACCATTGGAAGATGATAAGATGAGTATGAGGTCAGGTCAGTTGGCCCGTCGTGGTAAATTCACCATGATTGTATCACGGTTTCAAGGACCGAGCAAGAAAGAACCGCGTGGAGGTCAACCTAATAATGTACGCAGCAATAGGGTTATTAGTCCACGTTACTAACAATCCTATTCTCCCCTTTTATTTATTCCTAATTAAATAATACGTCCATATACATATAGATACAATTTTTTTTTCGTAAATACATACATATTATGTATATATAATAAATGTTATTCTATTCTATTCTATTCAAATTATACATAGAAAACACCTAGACCGATACAAACAATCATACTTACATAATAAACATGATCATACAAATGTTTGAACCATGCGAGGAATCGAACCCGCAACCATCGGAAGTAAGGCGGTGTGCTAAACTACTAGACCACCGAGGCCGTCATATATATACATAAGTAAGATATTAGTAAGTCAGTTTTATTGTGTATTAATCTCACGATTAATTAAGTTTTATTGTATTTTAATCTACTAAACAGATATCTATAATTTATATTGTTTTAATCTTCTGATTATGTTATTTTTATGACGCTATATTCTTTATGTTTCCTAGTAATACATCGAATTGAGGTTACATCTAGAAGTTACTGTCCAATGATTCGTGTACTGTACTCAATATTTCAATCCGTGTACTGTAATCGAGTAGGGAAAAAATTTAATTATAAAAAAAATACGTTCATAAACGGATAATATGTCCTACATTAATAAATTATTTTTTAATTTGAATAAGAAGATACAAAAGTAAAAAAGTTTTACCAGCGTCTATTTTTCCTGCCTCTTACAACATTGGGTCTTTCAAGTCAAAAGTGAATAGGCATTATTTGAGCTTGCGTAATAGCTTAGACCACATCATCACTTAACATCAGGTGAGATTGCGGTCATACGCGCTCAAATTTTAATATAAAAAAAAAAGTTTTTGAAATTAGATTAAGTACTATACTTTTAAAATCTAAAATTGATGAACGCGGTAGTCTAGCGGTTTAGCACACCGCTTTGCAAACATTTATATTCATGAGTTTTATTGTATCGGTCTGGGAGGACATTATGTATGTTGGTATTAAAAAAAAAACTAAGTAATTATATCAATTGTCTAGTATCTACAGCCAGTTTATTTGAAATGTATATAGTAAATTGTATGGGTATAATATCTATGTCTAACATTATTTTATTAAAAAAAACTTAATGCACAAATACAAAAAAAAGGTGCATGTGGCAGACTTAACACCATAAGGTATTTTCTCAGAGCAAACAGAGATTGGAGGGTGGTACATGAAATAAAAAATAATAAAAGTAATTAGGTATAATTATAATAAAATTCATAAATTGAAATATATATCCAAATGTACATCCAAATGACTTACGTATGTAATAGCTACTACCTTAATTGTATCAATAAGAACCTAAATTTAAAGACCTTAAAAAATATAATATATAATAGCTAAAATATATTATTAAAAGGAGTTCCTTTAGGCAAAGTTCCGAAGATACTGGCAGCGTTCCTTCTTTGAATTGCTAGACTAATTCTTTGTCCGAGGTAGCTGCCAGCTCTTCGGTCTTCTGTGATGGCGACTAACCTTTTTGTTATTTCTATATCCAAATACATACATACTTAAATAAAAATAATCATAACCTGTAAAAATTGATTAAGTACTACAACGACGACAATAAAGAGAGAACACACAGTGTTCCGAACGATATTTACTATACATAATATTTACATAGGTATATTAATATCAGCCCCCACAGGACATGTGCCCTCTGCAAGCATTATTTTTATTATTTTTCATATTGACAAGATGTGATCTAAATATACGTACGTTGATACATATCTAATTAAGTAACTAAGTGTATGTATGTATGTATTTAGTAGTAATAGTGATATATCTTCTTATATATAAAATTCTCGTGTCATAATGTTAGTAACCATACTCTTTCCAAGCGGCTTGATCAATTTTATATGCATATTCAGTAGGTTTGAGAATCGGCTACTATCTAGTTTTCATACCCCTAAGTGATAAGGATAGGATAAAAATATGTTAGGGGTGGACCCTAAATTTTCACCCTTCTATCACCAACCCCTATTTTTTTATAGCGTTATTAATTTACATGGCACAACAACGTTTGCCGGGACAGCTAGTATATATATAAGGACATTTTAATAATATACATTAATTTCAGGAAAGATTTCTACTAGACAGGAGCCAACAGTCCAACGACCGTTGGCATGTACCAATCAACTGGGTGCTGTCCGATGACCCTGACTTCTCCGACACCGCCCCCCAGAGCTGGTACCCCGCCACCTCTTCATCACTCTCAATTGATATCCCTGGACTCTCACAAGTTAATTGGTACATCATTAACAAACAACAAACAGGTAATTTTTGATTTTATAACCCTTTTTTATATATTCGATATTTGCCTCAGTGGTTTAGTGGTTTAGCACAACGTTTTACTTCCGATGGTCGCGGGTTCGATTCCACACACGGTACAAATATATGTAATAATGAATATGATTGATTGTATCGGTCTGGGTTTCTATGTATATTAAGCAGAGCTTATGGGTATTAGACAACAGACATAAGCACACAATTTTTTTTTTATAAATATATATATATTTAATATAAAAAAAATGTGTTATTATATCAGTTGTCTAGTACCCATAACATAAGCTCTACTTACCGTGGGTTTAGATGTCGCTGTGTTAATTATTTATTTTATTTTATTTATTATTTATTATATGACGGGTTCGGTGGTTTAGCTGTAATACATAAATTTTTATTATTCTAATAGTTACGAATACAATCAATTGTTGCTTAATAACATATAAAGGTCCTTCAAAACTAATTAATAATATAATAGCAACCCACTTCAGTCTCGGTTGTCTAACGGTGTAGAGCAGCGCTTTACTTCCGATGGTCGCGGGTTCGATTCCTCACACGGTGAAAACATTTGTATTCATGAGTATGATTATTTGTATTTGTGTTTTCTATGAATATTAAGTATGTATTTACAAAAAAAAAAAAACAAAACCTGAAATCATTTATTCATGTAAGACACATGAATAAATAATTTTAGATTTGATTTGATTTGATTATCAGTAGGAATTGCTAGAATAACAGGAAATAGATTAATAAACAACATGTCTCTAACAGGAAATATTGTAATAAAACAGACGGCGGCAGATAATCAACAAGCAGATAAAAAGTCTGAACTGTAGTTACAGAAATTACGCTAGATACCAACTTCCTGTCACAGATTTGATAAATATATGACGAGATACTTCCTTTAATTGATTATCAAAAAGTATCACAAGAGTCCCAGACTATCACTGTTTGATCTAATATTAAAAATTAATAATAATTAGGTTGCCCGGTAGAGATCTCTTTTAGCGATAAGTCCACCTTTACTCGCTCTATTTAAAGTAAAAAATATATAATAATAATTTTATATATTCATTTAATCTTCAATACACAAATGAAGGTGCACATGTTAGACTTAACAACTTGTGGCGGTTTTCTCCTTGTCAACCATATAGCAAATAGAGATTCATGTTGCACACATGAATCTTTGTTTGCCATATGGTTTACTTAAACAAATAAAATAAAATAACTATGAAGCACATTAAATGTACATAAATATTAGATTGACCATAATTATATATAAATGGCTGTGCCTGTGATTTCGCTTATGTTACATTTCAATAGCATAGAATAGAATAGAAAATCATTTATTCAAATAAAATTAATTTAAACACTTGAATAGTCAACAATGTTTTTTTAACCTACCGCTCATTCGGAAAGTCGTCTAAATATAGCCTATGTGTAATTTTGATGCATAAGCTATATTACTGTACAGTTTCATCAAAATCCGTTCAGTAGTTTTTGCGTGAGTGAGTAACAAACACCCATACTTAGAAACTTCGGGTTTATAATATTATTAATTACATTATATAATATTTAATAAATAATAATGCACACAATCCAGAACAATTCGAACATCGCTATTAAATCTCAAACTAAGCAGAGCTAGTATTATTTGTAGTAGACAACTGGTTGAAATCCTTAGATAGTTATTTTGTAAATACATATCGATTATACATAGTAAACACCCAAACCAAAGTAATCAATCATAACATACATAGTTACCAATGCTTTTGTGGTGCGAGAATTTCGCGACCATTTCTAGTAAGGCAGTTTGACGACGGAGGACAATAAAGAAAATGTACTTAACTATTTATTTATTCTTTTATTCATTTGCATTTCATAATGTTATAATAAAGGATGATATAATATTATTATAAGAGCTATGGACCCTGATGGGCGCAGCAAGCTACAATGAGATACAGTGGCTTTAACAGATTTTAAATATTTTATATATTATTTTTCTGATCGATGTATATATATACATATATACTGATTTTATAATTCATAAGTTATCTGTCAAATATTCATGGACATTATAATAACATTTTTTATAAGTAATTTTTTTAAGTTATGTATAAACATTTTGTCTTCCTTTATATTTTTCAAATATTCGGGTAGTTTGTTGTATATTTTTATCGACATTACCAAAGGACCAGATGAGTGCAAACTGTTATAAGTTTAGAGTCTAAAAGCATTTATATAAGTTGTATCAGTTGTTTAGTACCTATAACACAAGCTGTGCTCAGTTTGGGGCTAGATGGTGCTATTTAAATTGTTCTGGGTTTTATTTTCTACATTATTATCATCATCTGCTTCTTCCTTATCTCATTTAATTGGGGTCGACGTAATATGTTTTTCTCTTCCATTCATCTCTGTTCTCAGTCACCTTGTTTTTTACTCCCTTTCTTACCATATCATCTTTCACACAGTTCATCCATCTCTTTTTCGGTCTTCCTCTAACCGTTATTTTCTATATTATTATCATTTTATAATATTTATACATATAAAATACTTTTCTTACATTTATTGTTCATTCAACAGGTTACTACAGAGTGAATTATGAAATCAGTAACTGGATTGCTTTGTCCAGAGCACTTAACTCATCGTCTGAATATCTAGAAATTCATCTGTTGAATCGTGCTCAGATAATTGACGATTCATTCAATTTGGCAAGGAACGGACGACTCGTAAGTATTAGTTACTAGCTGTGCCCGCGGTTTTACTCGCGTTAAATTTTAATATAAAATATAGCCTATGTGTTATTCTGATGCATAAGCTATATTCCTGTAAAGTTTCATCAAAATCCATTAAGTAGGTTTTGCGTGAAAGAGTAACAAACATCCATGCTCACAAATTTTCGTGTTTATAATATTACTAGTTACTCGTCCCGGCTTCGCACGGGTGTACATGTATTATATACATTTCTCTAGAATAACTTTATATATTAAAATAAAAATCCGTTGCGTAGTTTTAAAGATTTAAGCATACATAGGGACATACAGCGACAGCGACTTTGTTTTATACTATGTAATGATTAAGATTAAGATAACATTTTTAAAGTTTCGTGTTTAATACAAATTATTTATATTGTTAAAACGAATCGAATCTTATCACTGGATTGAACTGCTTGCGACTAAGGTCTCCGTCTAAACTGAGGTCCTCTGATCGCTACTATTATCTCCACTATTAGTGTGAGATTAGAATAGAATAGAATACAAAATTCTTGTGGAGAATTTTCTCTTTATTATTTCTTCGCTAATAGTGGTTGGCAGATTCCAGTGTTGTAAAATGTCAAAATCCGTTGCATAGTTAAAAGAAATAAGATATAGCTAGCTATTGCAGCAACTATATAAGAAAATAAATTAGTGCTGGTTGGTAGTTTGTATTCACAAGTTTGGACTTGTATAATGTGAACTTACAAGGATTGTTTAAAAGAGCAACACGTAAGTTTCTTGCTTATTCTTCTTGTGATGAGACAGCTTTCCGAATAAGCGGTAGATTTAAAAAAAAAATGTTGACTATTTAAATGTGCTTAAATGATGGTTATTTGAATAAATGATTTTCTATTGTATTCTATTCTATCCTATATTAATTACGTCGTAGACTCTTATCAAAGGGATCGTGGCTTTTATGATGGTAGTGGATTCTCTCTGTTATCCTCTTTGATGACAGAGCTCCTTGAAATTTGTCTGTGGTACGGTTTTTGGCTGTACGAGAACATTGTATAATTGTTATATCTGACTAATCGAAAATAAATTTATTATTCTAAATTTGAATTAAAATTTATAGTTCTTTTAGAGTACATTCTTGTATATACTTCAATTCTGTCTTGACAATAGGTTCCTAATATATATCTCAGTACTCCAAGTCTTTTTGTATACACGTCTTTTACCTATACACGTCTAAAATAAAAATACAACAACAATGGACTGCCGTGTAGCAGTTTTTATAAGGTCAATCCATTGCGTTGGTTATCGACCAATTAGCAACTGCATACAATTTTTATTACGGCTAATGTGACCAAAATACTTGAGGATTCTTATTTATAAAGTCGACGATAATCTCTCCCTGATGTTGAGTTCTTTAAGGATAGAAAATTTATAATTTATGTACTATATACATACTATTAAATTATTGTTTTATTCCAGAATTACATCTATCCATTTGAAATTTCTAAATACTTGGTGCAAGAGAAGGACTACATCCCATGGGCCGCTGCCAACGCCGCTTTCAATTACCTGGATGTTGTACTCAGTGCTGCGCCAGTCTACGATTTATACAGGGTGAGTTCATTTTTTAGGAATGAATATAGAATACTTTAACCCATCTGCATTAAGACTGTATGTCCCCGAAACCTCTCCATTATTTTTTTTATTTCGAAACTAGACCTAAACTAACGAACTAGGCTAAACCCGCGACTTCGTCCGCGTGGAATATAACTTTAGTTTTCTGAAATAAAAGTAGCCTTAGTAGTAGTAGTAGTAGTAGGTAGCTGAAGTAATAAGGAGTAACTTCCTTATTACATCAGCTATCTGTCAATAAAAGTCCCGTCAAAATCGGTCCAGCCATTTCAATCTCTGAAATTGAATTGAGAGAGGAACAGACAGACAAAAATTGTCCAAAATGTTATTTTGGTGTACGTACCGTATTTATATTTATATGTATGTAGTAAAAACGGTTATTTCACTATTACAAACAGACACTCCAATTTTATTTTATATATATGTATAGATTTGAGCACGTTTGACCGCAATATCACTTGATGTTAAGTGATGATGCGATCTAAGCGTTACACGCAAGCTCAGATACATTCTCTCTCTTGACTTAAAGATTATAAAAAAAATCTAATAATATCGATGAATGTTTTGTTATGTTATAAGGCAACTAATATCAACGTGTCAGACTATACAGATTTTCTCTAAACGAGTTTTTTTTAATTACTCGTAACTGATAATCTTGATTTCCACCAATAAAAGGACCTACATTTAGCTCCATCATATGAAGAAACCAAGACAGTATAAGAATTAAAAAATATATGCAAGACATTGGAGTTATAATAAAAACTAAACCGTTAAGCCTTTTCTTAGATTACTACGCACAGACAAACAGACAAATGTACAAAACATATAACAATCATTGCTATTGCTATTGCTACGTACCCTAATAATATTTTTCATGTAGCTCTATGTAGCTACCAATTCCTTTATAGTGTAAAAACGTATAAATGAGGCTATTTTTCTGTTTATATTTTCATATAGTATTACCTATTGAACCTGACGGCTCCACTTTTCGTGGAGTTCGGATTCACGGCAGAACCTGAGGAGGAACACGTGACGGCTTATCACAGGAACATCATACTCGACATCAATTGCAGATATGGAAACGCAGTTTGCTTACGAGAAGCCAATAACTTACTTGAAGAATCGAAAAGTATGTAATTTTTTTACTACATTTTTATATGACATTGCTGCAATCAACTTCCAGCAATGGTATTTCCGAACTGTTACTATAAGAAAATCTTATTCCTTCCTAAAAGTCCGGCAATATGCTTGCAAATCCCCTATTGTTGTGGGTGTATGTATTTACCAAAAAAATCTAAGTATTTACATATATAAGATGTCTAGTACATATAACACAATCAGTGCTTACCGTGGGACTAGATGGTGCGGTATTAATTGTAAGAAATAATATGCAAATTCCACAGCTCAATCTATTAACCCTGACATTCAAAACTTGGTGTACTGCTCAAGTCTACGCTCCGGTGAAAGAGAAAACTTCGATTATTTGTGGGGTCTTTTCGCCGCAAGCACTGATTCCACGTTCCAAACCATTCTACTGAACGCTCTCGGATGTACATCCAACGAAGAGGCTCGAACGGAGTAAGTTTGTTTAATGTAATTATAATGACATGTAGACTGACAGACGTGATGGTAATCGTCGTCTATATACATGAACAGCAATATGAACATCACATGGTCTTGTGATTTTCGTGATACCTCTGAAGTGTTGCCATACTTGCGGAGTGGCAACACTGTCTAAGAGGTCTCTACAGAAAGGAATCTCATTAAAAAGGGTCTTTATAGAAAGAGGATTGTTAGTAATTAGGATTACTGGTTCCAATCCTATCAATGTAATATGACCTTCATGATGTCCTCCCTAGCAATCATCAACCATCGTGGTTAATTCCTAATGATTGTTTAGGATGTCTGATTGACCTTTTTCTACCGTCAGCGTATACAGTTAAAGCGGGAACGACCACCTATATATAAATGTAACTCAATATATGTATGATGATCATTAGTCCAGTGGTTTAGCACACCGCCTTACTTGCGGTGGTCGTGGGTTCGATTCCTCGCACAGTAAAAGCATTTTTATTCATGAGTATGATTGTTTGTATTGATCTGGGTCGAAAAAAGTGTATCTGGTATTTTTAATATAAATGAAATTCTGCACTTTACAATTATATATATTTTAACATAGAAACAAGTAATAATCATGATCGTAGCACAGAGTTAGATCAGAAAGGTATGTTTTTTTTTACTTTACAAATTAGAACGCAACCTAGTGTTCTATTTCACATCAGTATCTTCGCATTTATATCAGTTATTAAGTAATCATAACACAGGTTATGCTTAGGACTAGATGGTACTGTGTGTTGTCCTATAGTATTTAATTGTTATTATTATATTATTATAATAAAATATTTTTTTGTAGTTATTTGAACGAAGTCCTCGACGACGATTCACTAGTTAGACAACAGGACAAACATACTGTCATTGTTTCTGTCATCAATGCAAGCCCCGAAAACACAGATGCCGCCTTGGAGTTCGTCATAGAAAACTTTGATTTAATTAAACCCAGGTAAGAAATGCACAATTTTATAAACTCATAGAGAAGAGATAACTATAACAGATAGATATCTCTTCTCTATGATTTATTTTATGTTTATTAACTATAGCAACATATAACTCTACCACTATCGCGGTTTGGCAAATGTAATAGGTAAATATGAAATACCACTGCACGATGAGGTATGAGGCTGCTACAACCTAGGCTAGGTTGTAGCAGCCTCATACATAAACAAAATATCTCCTTTGGAAAGTACACATTCTATCCTGAAAATAATTGTTTCTAAGAATATTTTTCAATTCCTATCCCTGACGAGCCTAGGCGTATTGTAAAGAAGGGTGACCACAACAGATCTATGCGGTCGCTGGATCCATGGTGTGGAAGAGAGGAAAACACAGAGCAATTCCCGGGACTTGTGACCTTGTGCCCTTTTATCTACGTAAGTCAACACTCACCTTCACCGCTCGTGTTTCTCTCCCTCCTCAGACAAGTCTGTTAGGATCCTGCCAATGCAACTTTAGATATATGTTCTCATATAGAACCCACTACAGTATTACTATATATATTATTATAAACAAAGATTATTCGTATTCTGTAAATAAATAACACAATATTTCAACAGGGTGCAGGAACTTAGTGGAACTACAAATATTTTGAATGCATTCTCTAGAAGACTAAATACTCCAGCTCATTTGGAGAGGGTAAGTATTTTTATAATTTATTAAGAGTACATTGAAACATATAGCTCGTAGAATGTCCTTTGGGGTAGAAAGTCTTCGAGTGGTGACCGCGGGCCGGAAGACACTGCGTGGGAATGCGTCCAGCAAGGTGGACCCACGATTTGGTCAAGATCGCTGGAAGGTTTTGGATGCGAGCAGAGTATGATTGATTATCATGTCTGACATATTTGTTCAGCAGTGAACATCTTCCGGGCTCAAATGATGATGATAATGATGACATTGAAATATTTTACTTAGGTTGACTATACAGGTAGCCTTCTGCGACCTCTTTTCCACTTATTCAGCTGCCAAGCATCTTGTTTCGTAAGATGTGTTTTGGTTGTTGAAACCAAATTTTTATATGCTTCAATTATTATACATGTACAACAAAATATTCAAGCATATAAAAGTTTGGTTTAGATTTAGTTCTCCCGAATAGCAAACCTTTTTCTTTACTCAAAGAATCGATCTCCCCAGGTGTCTGTAAAATATTTCTTTAACCAATAAAGTCATATTTTGTTTAGCACATTAATGTAAATTATATATCTACCAGAGTCGTAGTCTGGTTGCCGAACAGTAAACTCTAGGCTTCCAAACTCTATTCATTGTCTGACGCCTCGTTTGGAGGCGATACACGTACAGCAATATGGGCGTTTACCCCACTAGTTATCGGCTCGCAGTGATCAAGCCTCTGCAGTGAATGTTTGTGGTCTAACACATGCTAATAGTAGCATTATTAAATAAAGCAATACCAATCAACGAAATGGATTTCTGTAATATAATATCTAATTCGATAATATATTTCCTAGATCAATTACTTCGAAAGTCGCTATTATGATATCTTCTCGGCTGGAGAACGGGCATCTGTAGCGGCTATCAAAGAAAACGTCGGTGCTTCTATAGCCTGGGCTGAAGATAACTTCAATAGCGTGGACTTATGGCTGAAAGATAACTATGGAAATAGTGCTGTTACATTCACATCTAATGTACTTATGTTACTATTTGTAGTTTTAGCCATTCTGTTCTAATTGTATACACTTGTAACTAGTCCATTCCATGTAATTAATGTATTATATAAGTATTAACATTATTTATTAACAATGTATTTATTTTTATATAAAATAAATGAGGCTTCGGAATCACTGTAAATGTACAATAAAAGTTTTATAATAAAAACGTTACGTATAAAGTTTTGTTGACCATTCATATTTATCCGAAATTTCTGTTTGATTATTTATTTCTTTTTACACTGTTATACACTTTTATACGCCTAAACGACTAAATGCATGGTAATGAAATTTAAAATGAAGATAGTCTGTACCTCATGGGCGATATATGATATCTTTTATCTGAAAAAAAAAGAAAACACAAATCATGGGTAACTGCTAGTAGTAAAACCACTTATAATTCTGTAATTAATTAATTTTATGTTAGCTATATATATATATATATATATGGCTAGTATAGAGTTTCTTCATAAACAACCTTCAATAAAACAACATATATATATATATATAACTTTGAACCTTTTCATGGATTATTTGCTATCGTCGTTTATCAAACATGAACAGTATTTTGTTCTAGTGACTTGCTTAAAGCCAGCGATAAGAAATTTAACTAACTCAGTTAGTTAGTATACTTAAAACTTATTTACTACTTAATAGAGCTACAGAGGATTATACTAATTCATTGTTGCACACAGAATACCTTCGTATATGTTATCTTCCGTTAGTCACTTCTGAGTTCTCCCTCGTTTTTATATCTGTATCTTTATCTGTTTAGCGTAGTGGTTCGTAGTACCAGTGACTTCGTTTCCAACTTCCAGGAGGTTTTATGCCAGAAAAATGGCTGACCATTTTCCTGGTATATCCGAGCATAGTGTAAATATTGGGTTTATAGTATGATACCGAGGTAGACTTTATAGAAAGTCGTGTGCTTAGTCCAGTACTTTTAGCTCGCCTATTTGTATTTTGCTTAGTTACTAAGATGTCGTTAAATCAGTGAAATTACAAGGTTGAAAGGCAGGATACTTTAGTGTTTTGGAATGGAAGCAGAGCAATTAGGTGATAACATGATATCAACGGTGCAGATGTTATGATAGTAATAACCTATCAAAATCAGTCAGTAATCACAGAGCGTCAGGTAAACAGTTTACCCGTGGCGGTTGAAACACTGCCGAAATATCAGGAAATTAACGAAAATAAAACGTAAGATCCCGTGATTTACTAATTGTAAAAGTACTTAGAATAATAAAAAACTTAATAATGAAAAATGCTTGCAATTTACAACAGACGAAGACATTAAGGGTTCTGCCCACGTCTTCCAATTTATATATAAAATCACGGCGACTATTATCAAATGATATAGTACTTATCCGATATCTGACATTAAATCGAGTTTTGTTCGACTTCAACCTCTTATTGACACAATCCTGAAATCTGATCTTGTCTGCTATCTCACGCATTTCCACTTAAAATTAAAAGAAAGAACTTCGTTCCAATTTTTGCATTTAGTACTGGAACAAACAGCTTGTTAGCATGTAGTTAGCGATAAACAGTCTATAGTTGGTAAAGTGTAAAGTATAAATATTTTGTTTTCTCAAAGAACTGAAAATAAATAAACAGTGACAATGAAGCTTGTAACAGTGTTGTGTATATTATGTATAATTGCGTTTTGTGGAAGTATACCAATATCTATTAGAAATGAGGATACTTATTATATGAATACCAATGTTCTTGATGAAGAATTGAAAGGTAGTAAAGTATATAATAAAGTGGGTAATGATTTCGAAACGAATGAAGACACAGAAAAACCAGAAAATGGAAATATATCGAATTTAACGGTCAGACCTGGTATGCATGTGACCAAATACGATGTAAGAATTGTCCTCGATGTAGGTAATGGGACTTTCGATGGAGTTGTGGAAATGGATGTTATAATCTCAGACGTAACAAGGAATGATGACATAATTTTACATTCAGTAGATCTGGATGTAACTTCAGTAATATTTGCTTTTGGTGGTGGTAACAGTTTTAGAAATGCTGAATTTAATGTCGATGATGAGAAAGGTATCCTAGAAATATCTACAAATACAAGTGCTGTAACCTACAAATTAGTAATAGAATATACAGGGAACATACGTACTAAAAGGGGGTTGTATGCTGTATATTACGACGACGAGTGAGTATCTTGTGTTATTATTTATTATTATTATATTTGGCGCTCTTTTATTTCTGTTTATAATCTGCTTAATTTTTAATAATTGATGTCTTTTTAGGTATTCATGCAAATTAATAAGTGTCATTCATGCAAGTTAAAGTAATTGAAGTGTCTATTTGAAATTTGGAATTAACAGCTTTTCGCTAAATGAATACAAAAGTTATAGACTTAGACAGTACATACGTAAAAAAATATTTCAACATTTTAGTCTATCTATGTTTGTTCTTGTTAATCTCTGAAGTAGTTGGACCGATTTTGACGGTATTTTCACTCGCACATAGCTAATGTTATAAGCAGGAACTTAAGCTACTTATTTGCTTATTTATTACTTATTAGTTTTCAATAAAAACTATAGAATGTCTTCTTTAGTTTATGTACATAATAATACAATATATATGTATATATAGTGGTACAAACTCCATCAGATACAATAGTGTATTATTTTTTATGTATTTGAGCGAGAAATTGAACCCGCGACTATCGGAAGTAAAGCGGTGTGCTAAACCGCATGACCGCCAAGGCTGTCATTTAGGATAAGTCCTTAGGAATGACAATGCATGTGGTGTATTCAGGGGGTAGGTCATGCAGGGACAACACATGACACCTGGCGGTTATGATACTATTCATGGATATATTAGTTGCTGAAAACGATAGGCATCAGGTTTGACAGGCTGAGTAGACTCAATGCAAGAGAAATAGCCTGCTTGACTTTTCTGCTGTTTTTCATGGAACTTCAAACAATTGTCGTCATCCGTCCCTCTGTGTATTTATTTACTCTTTGTTACACCAGAAGTTAATTACAAAGATCATAAACAGAAGTAATAAGATACAAAAGACTGACTTATCGCAAACAATGTGTTTAAGAAGTTTACTTGAAGTGTATATATATTTCATAGCCCACCCATCTCCAACAGAAACATATGATATACTAGCTGACCCGCGTAACTTTATCTGCATCACACTTACTTGACATTTATCATTAATTTTTCACCCAATTTTCGTAATATATCTTTAAATTATAGTATGTATGTTACTCTGGTGTATAAGTTAAATTACTGTAGAGCTCAATCAAAATCCGTTCAGTATTTTTTGTGTGAAAGAGTAACAAACTCTTTCACACAAAAACTCCTGAAAACTGAACTGAAAATCTATCTATCTTTCACAAACTTTCGCGTTTATTGGTTCTCAGGAATGAGAATACATGTGTGGTGTTCAGGGAGGCATGGTATGTAGGGGTGTCGAATGACTACATAGCGGCTTTAATACTGTGTTGATATATAATACTTCTTGAAAACGACATATACGTATCAAGTGGATCGATCTGTCTTTCCAACTCTGTAAAAAAAACATGTATATGCAAAACGGTAAGGCTTTTGAGCTAGATGTCGTTAATACCCACATCTGACTCAGAGTCCACGTGTTTTTTTCGGACTTCTCTAATGCTGCTGGCCGCAGCTGGCTTTACAGCTTCATCGGACGATGCAGCGAGTGCAGATGGCACTCCAAATCCGTGGAAGGACTTATGGAACGGTTGAAGGCCAACTCCCGCCTGACGGATACGACAGAGCTTAGGGCACTGCTGGGGCTTCGAACATCGATTCAGGCCGTTGTTATTTCGATCCCCGTTTAAATTGGACGGGGGATCGATCGGAGGGGACCACATGTAGTAAAATTTATAATACACTTTACATAATTGGAATACATCGATATTGTTCAATATTATTGATAGCTTATTGACCGGATATATGAATTCTTATTATTTAGTATTTAACATTACCTCTTTGTCATTCCTAAAACAGGCCATCATTTTGGTATTTCTTAATTAAAAATATAGTTAAAAACGTAACAGTTATTTTTTAAATTATATAAAAAGATATTATTTAGAATTCGAATATATTTTACCACATCAACAGCAATCTGTAGTTTGATAAGCACATATCAGTTTATCTTGGAAATGTTGAAAATGGTGTTAAATGTAAAAAAAATGCCTATTATAAGAATACAAATAATATTCAAAGAAATTTGAAAAAGTTGAACATGATATTAGTAAACTACACACTTTTATTATATGTATTTTCTCTTATGTATTATATATATTGCAGGAAATAGATTTACTACTTTGATATTTACTATACATATAAATAATACCTGTGGACAATTCACACGACACCATCTTGTCAGCCCAAAACTTGTGTTATGAGTAGTGGACAACTAATATAAATACATAGATGCGTATTTTGTAAATACATACATAATATACACAGTAAACACCCACACCGATAGAAACAACTCACAATTACAAAATCGTTGCACCGTGCGAGGAACAAACCCGCGTCTATCGGAAGTTAAGCGGAGTGCTAAACCGCTTGACGGAGGCCACGGAGGCCGTTTAAAAAGACAAATAAAAATAATAATCGAAGATTGATTTTAAATAACACTTGATTTCTTGACAAAGAAATTAAATTTAAAATAAAATGTAAAACATGTTCTTAAATTTCTTACTTGTTTTGTTATGTAATATTGCCATTATCTGCCTTTATTACTTATTACCCCATTTTCATTTATTTCAGCTACCATGAATGGATATATACTGAATAGATAATACCATGAATAGATAATGTACTGAAATTATAGGGCACAGATGCATGACATCTTAATTCTCCGGAATTGCAATATAATGCATGTAATGTGTTGCTGTTCATATATAGGATACAGGCGATCTTAGCATAAGTATGTTTGCAATTCCATAAAAAAGTAGTAATTCGTATTATCTGAATAACTGCTAAGGCAGGATAATAAGTTTTTTAATACTATTTCACGATTGGGTATTCAGTATTGTCGTCATTATTTTCAATCAATATCGCTTAATAACACTTGTGGAGGAGATGCCATAGTTTATCTTACGTATGCCTGGGTGTGACATTATCTATATCGCTCTATCTTATATGTATCTCACTTTTGTAATATTCTAACGCTATCAGTATCGCGAAGTGACCGTTAGTGTCGGACAGTGTTAAGACTTTGTGACCTTATAGAAAAAATGGTCCGAAGAAAATTACAGTGGAAATTAGCTTTGTTTTTTTATTTAATACTACTTAATGTTTTTACGAAAAGTTTACCGATAGATAAAACAATATTAGAGTCTACTACAGTATCCGATACTGCTTTTAACAGTTTGCCAATATTAGAAATTCCAACTGACGTACCGTTGAGAAGCAATGTAGTTACAAATGTACAAGTTCAAAACGCAACGGCGACTGAAAGAAATATTACAAGAAACATAATAGTAAGTGAAGTAAGACCTGGTCAAAACGCGGCTGCCTATTCAATAGAATTAAATTTTGATGGAGATTCATTCGAAGGCCGGGCGATAATTAATGTCCTTTTGAGGGATGACACATTAGAGGATGAAATATTGCTACATGCAGAGGACATAACTGTAAATTCAGTAGTTAAAATACTAGACAATTCGCAATTAATACCTCTGGACTATACAGAAGATGATGGAATACTGGAGATTTCAGTACCAGATAATCTAATTGCAACTCGACATAATCTGCATATTGAGTACTCAGGATCTTTCGAAAGTAATGGACATGGGTTGCATCTAGGAGAGTACGGGGGAAAGTAAATATGAATTTATATATTTTTTGCAATTTATATTTAAGTTTATGGGGGAGATAGATGATAAGCAGTGGGATAACACATTGGTCGGAAATATTATTTTATACATATATATATATACATATATTTCGGTATAAGCATTACAGCGGCTTTTGTAAGCTATGTTCATATTTACACAATTTTCAATTTACTAAGTACATAATTGTAGAAAAGTAATAAAAAATGTTTATTTATCTAAACTTCAGCCAATGTTATTACTGATGCGAATATAAACAGTCAAATAAAACGGTTGAACGGATTTTATGAAATTTTTTATTCATATTGGATTATTGGAAATCTAGATTAAGATATAAAACATATTTTATAATTAATGGATTTATATTAGATAAGATTTACTGATAAGAGTTCGGATGCAGTATGGAAACAAAGTGTTAACTGTTCGGCGACCAAACCGCGACCGAACAGTCAACACTAGGCTCCCAACCTATACCCGAACTCTATTCAATGCCTCGTTCAAGCGCGAAACACGTGTCGCAATATGGGTGTAGACTCAATAACGGTCGTAATTTGATCGCCAGTAGAGAAAGTCGTAACGGTAGTCAAGTTAAAGCAGTGGGCAAATGGGCTTCCGAAAAATAACACATTATTCGATTAAATATATATTTCACATTTAAATAATGTTCGTAATATTCACGTAAATTCTTTTATACTTCCACAGTAATCAAATATATTCTGGGATAAAAAATATTTCAATATACCCATTAATGCATAAACTGTTTCTGTCCAAAATCTGAACTAAGTCTACCTGACTGATAGATATGACAGAGTAATCAACCTATATAGTATTACATTTACAATATTTATAATTTTAATACGTATAAACGTATTAGTTTAACATAATGATTTTGTTAATACTTTCAAACACTTTTATATAATAAACATATTACTCTGATAAGGTCCAGTGCCTCTCGCACTGTTCCAAAAAGAGATTCCTTTTATTAGTCTTATTATATACTACTCTACTACCTTTGTTATTAATTTTTGTATATAATATATACTAAATGTTGCACGCGTAATGTACAGTTTCTAACAGTCATTATTGTATTTTATTTATCCTTTATTACGTCATCTTCTTCCACAAATGTTATTGTGAACGACAAATAAAATCGATGAATTCTCGAAAGGATAATGTATATTACGAAGAGGAACTCTATAGACTAGGGCCAAGGAATATGGTCGAATGGGAAAATAAAACGAAGTGACAATGTAGAATTTGTCGAAATTAAAACTAAATATAAAACTTTATAAATATAACAGGCTAATTAAATGGCCTGTATAGCACAAACATTCAATCTAAGCATTCTCTCCTTATATGCATGTCTTCTTCCTTTACATCGCTCTGCTTTCATATAAAAATCTCTCCTTTTTTAAATCCTTTTTTAAATCATAGTACTCACTCTATTACTACAACGTCCCAAACCAGAGGCTAAATTAGAGTTCAATTTCCAATACAATACAATACTCCTCACTATGACATATTGATATCGTGTTAATAATAAGAAAATATATAACATTAATGTCCAACTAACGTAGCTTTATATAAAAAAGGCATGCCTTGTCCAAAGATGAGGCAAATTGTCAAATCGTGAATTCTGTGATTAAATATTTTGAGAAACAAAATATGAATTAATTAATTACATACAAAATATCTCTTACGAAAAACATATATTTAGTACCTACAAACTTAGATCGCAACTTCTTACCGGTATTTTCTTTGTTTGTACACCCAATCCAATGACTTTGTACAAAGTATATTTATTTTTATAGGATATTTTTACACGAGCGAGATATTTTTATAGGATATTTTTTCCCTACGAGCAAATTCGGTTTGCTGTTTATTCCGTTGATAAAGACTGACAAGAAACTCTATCAGAACATTTTTTGAAGTTATTTATTTACATCGATTTTTTTGTTTAAGCTCGTACGTTGCCATGAACCTGTACCCAACCCATGCAAGGCGAGTCTTCCCCTGCATGGATGAACTAACGCAGAGGCCCAATATTTCATTCTCGTTCAATGGGCTCGATTACAATAACATCGTTACAAATTCCATGCCCCAACAGAACAGTCAGTAAGTATTTAAATTAAAACATTCAAGTTTTCTACACCGGCGGCTTGTGGGTCAACTATACACAAAAAACTTACAATGTTTTTCGTGTTCAAAATTCATAAATCATTTATTCATTTGGGATGCTTTATGTGCGCTTATAAGCGTCATATTTTTTATATTATAATTTTTTCTCCACCGTCCTGTTCCGTATACTAGTATATTATCAATAATACCTAGGACAATCCAAATAACTACATCTAACAGATAGTTATTAGAAACAAGATATAAAGCAGTTAAAGCAGGATATGTAGGTATAATATCTTAGTCCTCAGAAATGGTAACATATGAATGGTATCACGGGCATTACTGGATAACTTGATGTCCTCAGTACAATTTATTTATACAGGTGATGCTTATTATTTGCCATCGGAAATATGAAAAATAATGTAGTTGAAATTAAACAATATAAGCACTGTTCAGATTGTACTAAACAACTAACAATAGATATATGAAATACAGAAATACTTCAATATTTTTTTTTGTATTAGAACTAAATGCATAATATACTTATACATAGCAAATATTGGGATCAATACAATAATAATACTCATGAATACAATAAGTTTGTTTGTTTAGTAGTTTGCCTTTACAGAAAATAAATTATAAATTAATTTATAATATATTGTTTAAAAACGGATCACTCTAGTGTCTTGCCCATTCTACATGACTAAACTTGTATTAGATTAAAAAAAAAACTATTTACTATTATTTATATTAATATATAAATAGTAAATAGATTATAAAATATTTATAAATGTAAATATATATTTTATATGGATATATTTATATCATCGCCTTATTATCTCTGATCAGCGCGATAGTTGACTGATAGAGAATGCCATAAGACATTAAGTCAATGCATACAATTTTATGTGCTAAAGAATAAATTAAATATATGTACGTTATTTGATTAAAGTATATATTCTATAATAATTAATGATTGCTATATTGTTTTCAGGACTCAGTTTCGAGGACTGACCGGCACACCGCACTCGTGGGGTATGATGGCACATAATTTTGATTTTTTAGTTACACCGCATACAAACGTACAGATTTTTGGACGACCAAACCTTCAAGGTGTTCAACACGACCAAGCATCTGTGGCCATAAGCTCTTACTTTAGTTTCCTCAATGAATGGACTAACAGGAATTATTTTGATATTGTGTTTGAACAAGATGGCAGAATGCTCATTTTTATTTTACCTGATATTTCAACAGACTGGTATTCACTTTCGATAGTGGGATTATGGTAAGTGTATTCTATGTATTTAAGGATAGCATAAAAGACATTTGTATAAAAATTATGTTGCGATAAAAAAAAAATATAACTTAAAAGCCATTAAATATAAATTAAAAAATAAAATTACTTCTTTTGAAAATAGAAGATAGAGCAGCGATAAAGCGAAAAAACTTGCTATTAATCGTATTTATCTCCTTAGGGAAGGTTATGTATTTATGGAAAATACGCATTCCATTAAGCAAAGAAGAATTGCTTTAGTAAAGATCGCTGAAGCTATGGCAAGTCAGTGGTTTGGATACCTGATATACCCGAATAACTGGAGAAACCAATGGATTATCTCTGGCTTCGCATCTTACGCCGCATGGGAAGCTGTTTACTCGGTATTGTACTACTATTTGTTATAACAATTAGATGACGTCGGTGGCCTAGTGATTTAGCACATCGTCTTAATACCGATGGTCGCGGGTTCGATTCCTCGTTCTGTACAAACATTTGTTATTAATGAGTGAAACTATTTGCATTGTTCCGGTTGTTTTCGCGCTTGTGTTATGGGTACTAGACAACTGATATAAATACAGATCAAAAAAGTCTAAGCACATACAAATTTCAATTTTACAATGTTCTTTCGCATGAAATCCTTAGTATCCTTCCTTCCTTATTATCTTATTTATATTATTTTAAGTGCTTTTTTTTATATGAAACAACAATTGTATTTTTATTTATTTATTTTTTAATAATGTCAATTAAGAATAATTACAAGTAACGGAAGGTGCCTAATCAACTAAACTTAAACTAAAATTAAATAGTTGTACAAAAATTGCATAAATTAATACAACGTGTGGCCTCCTCTGTTATCGAGAACTTACTGGCACCGACTCTACAAATAATCGATGAGACTGTTAATGTTATCCTGCGGCAATTGCTCTCAATGAAATTTTAGTAAAGTTAGTCCTTTAAAACCTCTCTGGAGCATGTCCCATGCATGCTCCATGGGGTTGAGGTCTGGCGATTGTGCAGGTCAAGACAATACTAGGATGTTTTCCCTTGCCAAGTACTCCCGTGTGTGCAAAGCTCTCTGCGAACACGCATTGCCATGCATCAACGTAAAATCGGAGCCAAACGTTTATGCGAATGACTTTACATAAGGCCTTAGAACATCCTCAACGTAATTTACAGCGTTTATGTTACCATTTATATGTAAAAAATAGACACTTACATATAAAAAAGTCATGTCATTAAACTTGTAAACTCTTTGCTTAATACTGCTGAGCTGGGCATAGGTAAAATAATTTTATGTGCATTTCCTTACTGTCGTTCTCTGACTATTGAACAAAATAAGTTCATATATTATATTAATAATTTAATTTATAATATGACTTGTCGTCATAATGACTTTTTATTTTTTGATAGTAACAAATTTGTTACAAACTTTTGTATGACTGGAGATAGATTTTATCTGCCTAAAAAACAAATAAGAAATATAGCTAGTTTACTAGCTTATAATATAAATGACCCCATTATAAGTAATATAATGGGTTGCACTAATCCAATTAGTAGTACTTGTACTAATGCTAATACTAAACATACTGAATATATTCTAGGAAGAATCATTTTATTTACAATAATTTAAATATGACTGCAGATTTAAACTGCCGAAAAAGACAAAGGGAAAGCTATAAGAATTGAAAATTGTTCACCAGAACATACAAAATTTTCTCGGCTGTGAATTAATTATTCAATAGTTTTTAGAAAAAAATAATATAGATGTTCTATGTTTAACTGAACATTGGCTCAAAGTGAGCAATATGATGTTAAGCTTAAACAATTATAATATTGTCAGCTGCTTTAATAGAAAAGTAGTAAATAGAGGAGGTTCCATAATATTGGTGAAAAATAATATAAAAGTAAAAGAACGTAGTGATATTGGCAATCTTTCCGTTGAGTGTTGTATTGAAATTTCCTGTGTGGAACTAGAAAATTATATAGTTATGTGTGTATATAGACCTCTAAATAGTGATTATATTGAAATATATATTGAAGAGGTAATGGAGGATATTTTAAAAAGAGTATTTAATATTACCAAAAAAATTATAGTGTGTGGTGATTTCAATGTTGACATTTTATCACATAACACCACAAAAACTAAATTAATGAGTTTATTTCAATCTTTTGACTTGAGTAATGTCTTCCACGAATCCACTCGTATCACAACCACGTCTGCTACTTGTTTGGATAACATATTTAGCAACAGTGAATATTTAGATAAAATAATAATAAACAACCTTCCTTCTGATCACTGTGGTCAAATAGTAATTTTTCCAAATCACGTAAACAAAATTAGGAAAATTAATTTATTAAAAAGAGACTTGACTGGTTATAAGATAAATAAATTTAAAATATCAGTTCGTAGTAAATTAGATTTTTGTCCTCAATCTGATGAACCTAACAAACTTTATACAGATTTCTTCAATATTGTTTCTTACGAATATAATAAGGCTTTTAACAAAAAAACTATCAGTATTAGTAACGAAACAAAATTTTCAGAATGGGCTACAAAGGGAATTCTTAAAAGTAGAAATATATTATTTGATTTATATAATCAAAAAAAATACCGTTTCGATAGTACATTCGTAAATTATGTAAAAAGATACTCAAAAACTTTTAAAAAGGTACGTAATGTAGCAAAGTCTAATTATCTAAATAAAAAAATTAAAGAATCCAAGGATAAGATTAGGACAGTGTGGAATATTATTAATAAAGAAACTGGCAAAGTTAAAAGTCCATATAATGATTTTACGTTAAATTATAATGATAAACTAGTAACGTCCACGAAAGAAATAGTCAATATTTTTGAAAAATTTTTCGTTAGTATTCCAACTGATATTACGTCCTCTTTGGACTCTTCTCCAAGTACAGCTATATCATTCCTTATTGACAATGTTGCTTCGTGTCCGGTTACATTTAAATTTACATTTATTGATTGCTACAATTACGAAAACAATTAAATTTAAAAAATACTGAAGACCATTGGGGCATATCTGTTAAAGTTATTAACACCGCTATAGATGTTATTGCTCCATATTTAGTAACTATCTTCAATAAATGTATTTTTGATGGTGTTTTTCCCAATTTAATGAAACATAGTAAAATAACTCCACTTTTTAAGTTAGGGGATAAAACTGAAGTAGGTAATTATAGGCCCATTTCTATCTTACCAGTACTAAGTAAAGTGTTTGAAAAAATTATGCTCAATCAGATGCTTCAACACTTTAAAATAAATAGACTGCTTCACAGTCGGCAATTTGGTTTCACAGCCGGTAAATCAACTACTGACGCTGGTGTAGCTTTAATGAAACACATTTTTGACTGTTGGGAGAGCTCTCAGGATGCTATCGGTGTATTCTGTGACCTCTCAAAAGCATTTGATTGCGTTGATCATGAAACACTCTTACTCAAATTAGAACATTACGGTATTAGATATGAAGCACTATGCATGATGAAATCCTATCTAAATAATAGAATGCAAGTTGTTGAAATAAATGGTGTAAAGTCTGAGGGAACTAGTATTAAAATGGGTGTACCTCAGGGCTCTATTCTAGGTCCTTTCTTATTTTTAGTTTACATAAACGATCTTCCTTATATGGTAGAAAAGATAGCTGACATAGTTCTGTTTGCTGATGATACTTCATTAGTATTCAAAGTCAATCGACATATTGATGATATGGACGAAGTAAACGGTTCTCTCTCTTATGTTTTAAAATGGTTCACGGCAAATAATATGCTACTAAATGCAAATAAAACTAAATGTATTAAATTTACTCTCCCCAATGTAAGGCCGGTAGATTCAAAAATCATATTGGACAATAAATCTATTAATTTTGTTGACGATACTGTATTTCTAGGTATCACATTAGATTCCAAGTTGCAATGGGGTGCTCATATTACTAAATTGGCGAGTCGACTTAGTTCTACCGCTTATGCGGTAAGAAGAATTAGACAATTAACGGACGTGGCAACTAGCCGTTGTCTATTTTAGCTATTTCCACAGCATTATGTCGTATGGTATTTTGTTATGGGGCAAAGCAGCTGATATAAATACAATATTTACTTTACAAAAGAGGGCCATTCGCCCCATTTATGGTATGGGTTCCAGGGAGTCATTGCGAGAGTGTTTTAAGGAATCAAATATCCTCACCGTTGCTTCTCAATATATTTATGAAAATATCATCTATGCCAGAAGGAATATAGACAGTTTCAAAAGAGTTAGTGATTGCACTAATAAAAGCTTACGTAACAATAACAAACTGATTTTACCTAAATGTCGTTTGGCTAAAGTTAGTAGTTAGTTTTACAATAAAATACCAGAGTCTGTTATAAATCTGTCAGAAAAAAGATTTAAATATCAAATAAAACAGTTCCTTTGCAAAAAAAGCTTACTATAAAATTGAAGAATTCGTTAACGATAACGATACGATATTAATGTTTTTATAGAAAAACTTTAAATCTACTGACAATATTATCTGATTACATTAATTATGAGTGCGTAGCGACTTCTATGTTGATTATCGCATGCCTCTTACTTTTTATACTGTAATTATTTATATAAAAAAAAACATCTATTAAAAAGAGCAACACACAAGTTTCTTGCTCATTCTTCTTGTGATGAATCTGCATTCCGAATGAGTGGTAGAATCAAAGTATGACTATTCAAAAGTGCTTGTAATGAGTTTATTTGAATAAAGATTATTTCTGTTTTCTATTTCTATTTACAAAAACGACCTCAACATCGGATAGCGTGTTGCAGTCAGTTGTATGTATCGTTCTTGCCGTGTGGTTGTACACCTTCCTCGACCTGAGTGGTGCTCAGCAGAGTCTCCTGTTGATATTCCGCTTCTGTTGATACCAAAATACCGAGATACCCGATATTGACTTCTTTCTGCTTGCAACATCCCTACAGCTTTTTGCATTTCATCTGCATTCAAATGACCTCGCTCCATGACAAAAAATGTCTCAAAATCCAAATATGTTCGAAACCTTTTTCAAATTATTGTTTAAAGCATAAAATTGATGCAGAATACTAAATTTTAATAATCAAAGAAAACGCTATAAAATTAGAACAAATACATTCGCTTTTTGAATTTGTGAAAATAAAAACAAATTATACTCGATTTTTTTACAACCAGCCAATACGCTGGCTAAATGACTGATTGTGAAAAATAGTCCTCTAGATCAAAAAAGTTTACATGGGTATTACCTATTGGTAAGAAATGATATAATAATTGATTAATAATTTGAAATAGTATGTGTTGCTTAGACTTTTTTGATTAATGTACTTAGATATCTTGTTTTTTTGTAAATACATTCACAATATACAAAAAAAACAATACAAACATAGATACTTATGAATACAAAATATTTGCACCGTGCGAGGAATCGAACCTACGACCATCGGAAGTAAAGCGTTGTGCTAAACCGCTAGACCGCCGAAGCCGTTAAGTCAAGTTCAATACTACTTTAGATTTAAAAAATGTACACGAAATAATTACTTCTATCAAATTTCAGTTTCAAACAAGTAGTTCAGACAATGATATAACGATGTTGGATGTTAATACTCTATTTGTAACAGAAGTAATACAGGAATCACTACTCCTTGATAGCTACGCAAGTTCTCAAGTCTTAGAACCAGAGGAAAGTCTCTTCGACGAAGTAGAAATTAGAGATCATATTAATGGTCTTGTGAAGCTCAAAACACCAGCAATATTTAGAATGTTAAGGCTTATTCTTGGAGACGAAGAAGATGATTTCATTCACCGTGCAGCGCAAAGTATAGTCACCAAAGAGTAAGTACAACATCGAGCGTTAATTTATCTCAGAAATAAAAATTTACTTACATTTAATACACGAATTTGTAGTTAAGCTGCTGATTGATATCTGATACTGGAATATTGTAGATATTGTCGTTTTGTTATTTCTTGATTTTTCCATTATGTAGTAGCTAATTATCATTACAGTTTTACACTAATTGGAATGATAAACAAGCTCAGTAAAATCTTGATGAATACATCACGATATATGAATGTGGTTGGTTATAAGGGTAGAGGAAGACCGAAAAAGAGATGGATGGACTGTGTAAAAGATGATATGATGAGAAAGGGAGTAAATAACGCGATGACTGCGAATAGAGATGAATGGAAGAGGAAAACATATTACGCCGACCCCAAATAAATGGGATAAGAAAGAAGCAGATGATGATGATGATGATGGGCTAACTGATGTGACTTCACGATCATATTATACTCCACTAGTATTCTGTTAGAGTTGATCATTCAGTTATTATCCACTTAGAAAAGACTTTGTGTATACAATTTTCAAAAACACCTGTCTCTGGGGCAGTGCCTGAAAATCAGTGGTTTGCTGCTTGTGGGTATGCTTCAAACAATATACTGTGGTGTTGCCTTTTTGCGTATGGGTTATGCACACACTGTACGTTACTCACACCGTTTTTTGTACCTATATTGTATTTTGTTGAATGGCCAATATAATTACTACTAATATTTTTTTTATTTTTGTTGTTTATATTACAATGCCTAGTAAAAGTGTGCTTTTAACTTAAATAAAAAAATTCTCTATCTAATTTTATATTTGATTTTGTTAATTTTGAACTCATGAAGAAAAAACATGTGTTGTACTAATATATGCCCCTAAATTGATAGACCAATTTTGGTGCCTTTATTTGTTTGATAGCGGACATAATCAAGTTCTCAGCTATCATTTTGTATACTTAAGTAATATAAAGAATGTCAACTATATAAACATATTCTAATTAGATTCATCAACTTTTTAAATTGGGAATAATTTTTAGTTTTTATTTTTAATATACTAGTAGATTTAACTTATTATAAATATCTGTAATAGACCCATATAAAGACATTTTCATTATTTTCTTTGTTGTTTTTTTACGAATGCTACTTATTATTATTTCTTTGTTCAGACCTCTCACCGCAGTAATCTCGCGTGACTTCTACGATGCTGTTGTAACTAATTGGTTTCAAGCTGGTAAAGATTTGATAGAAAGTATTAGTGATTACATGGAAACGTGGCTGCATAACTCTGGCTATCCAGTTGTACATGTCACTTTAAGATCAGGCGGAGTCTTCTTGACACAGGTGAATAACTAAAACATCTTATTATTAATATTATAAATGCGAAAGTTTGTTAGTATAGATGGATGTTTGTTACTCTTTCACGCAAAAAGTACTGAACGGATTTTGATGAAATTTTATAGTAATCTAGCTTACACATCAGAATAAGACATAGACCAAAAATATCAAGAAGGCGAAGCCGCGGGCGCAGCTAGGAAAGAAATAATTAAATACCATTGCCACAGTACCGTATAGTTACAAACTAAGCAGAATATTTATTTATTTATATACACGCGATTTCGTCCGCGTGGAAATTAACTTTTTTTTCTAAAATAGAAGTAGCCTAAGTTTCTCCTCATATTACTCCTTTTACATCAGCTACCTTCCCAAAAAGTCCCGTCAAAATCGGTCCTGCCATTTCCGAGATGAGCCGGAACTAACAGACAGATAGACAAAAATTGTAAAAGATGTTATTTTAGTTTATATCATATTTTTATTCATATGAATGTAGTAAAAAACGGTTATTTCAATATTACAAACAGACACTCCAATTTTATTTATATGTATAGATTTACTTCACACTAAGTGAGCTTTACAGTTTCCTAATATGCTCACTTAGGAAGATTGTATACATACACACAATTATAAACACTAATTATTAATATATATATATATACAATAACACAAGGAAAAAAAAGAAAAATAATACCTAATCTTAATTTTATATATTACATAAATAATCTACTGCTATCCTACGAAACTCTGGCAAATTACAAGTAAATATATCTAGATCTGGAAAGCAACTAACTACACCGTTGTTGTTAGAAAAGCTTATAGAATTAAATAGCATAGTAAATTATTTTTTTAAATAAACTTTTTAAGCAATGTATAGATATAGAACATGTATAACTATTAATAATAATACTTGTTCTTTTTTAATCTACCGCTCATTCAACAACACAAGAAGAACGAGTTAAGGTACTCTTTTAAATAATTGTTGTAAATTTACATTTTAAGTTGAAATATGTAAATACCACACACCAACTGACCCTAATTTATTGGGAGTCAAATATTAAATAAATCAATCCACTGTTTAAATAAATAAATAAGATTAAATCAGTTGTAGTCATTAGAGCAGATCAGTCCCTACAAACAACACTGTAATATCTCAATCCTTACCTTCACCTTACTTTTACCTTACCTTCTCCTTACCTTCGCCTTACCTTCACCTTACTTCGACTTACTGGGACCATTACGTTTTAATATTATGATGTTGTCATATCCGTAGCTCTCTTCCTACATGTATTCGACTATTGCACCTTTACCACTGGGTAGCCTATCAGCATGTTTCCTATTTTAGTTACAAAAAGGTTATGTCATTTCAGGAACGCTTTGCCTTTACAAATGTAGAACAAATTGAATATCCGATCCCTATAACATACGCAACCAGTCTCAATCCCGATTTCGAAGACGAAAATGTATATCCGAACTTGATGCTTGAGCAGAGTTTATCATTGGATGTTGCTATGGAGGACGAGGGTTGGATTCTCTTCAACATTCAAGGACAAGGTTTATAATTCTTATATCTTATATAATAATGTACTATTATGACTGTTATCAGTGAGCCAGAGTTATTGCAGTAGTTTTTTTTTTTAGTGAGCATATTTTTATAATTATTTGAACTTCTGCGTGTGCACTTTCGGGTTACGCTCGCTTCAGCAGAGAATGTTTTTGAAGTCTTTTATTTGTTTAGTTTATCCATACATTTATTAATAATAATAGTTTAAATGTTATTCATATTGATATGTGTGTGTGGTGAACATTGGCGAGTGTCCATGAGGATTTTCCCCAAGATAAAAAAAAAAGAAGGCAGAGGAGTGCAGAATTCTAATATATTTAAAATCAATGAAAAAATATTGCACCCTGTATTTGACACTCATACACACCTACAAGATTTTCATCCACAAATTAAACTTAGGTTTAATACCCCGAATTTGCTAAAAATTAAATCACAATAAAAAAAATCATCATGGCATCTAATTCAATGTATTCCATATATTTTGATATCGTTCTGTTATAAATCTTACAAAACGTTTTATTGCTTCTCATGTATATGGGAATAAGTGTATATGTGAATAAAGATTATTTGTGAAAAATAACATGTTACATATTATTTTAGGTTACTATCGTGTTAATTATGCTGACGAGTTATGGGAACACATTATTGAAGCTCTCGACGACCCAGAAAGAAGAGAAGAAATACATCCATTGAATAGAGCTACCGTAAGTGTACTACAATTATTATACCAATAGATGTTTAAATACAAAGAAATCAGAAGCTCACTAATCTAAAACACTAAAGATAATCATAATATCTAATTGTTTTTCTCCATAAAACCTTGACACGGCTTACAGAGTAATACAGCCATTTGAGAACGTAAATTTAAAGTCAAAATAAAAATTTGTAGAGAACTGGTTGGCACTAGTACTAAATGTTGGCAACCGACCGCTGAACTCCTTTGATATTATTATTATATTTAAATTTATATTTTTAGAACACTCCTATTTTATATGTTAAGTTATTTGATCTTCACATTACTCATTCATTGTTTTTTTGATAGTTCGCAATTGCACATTAATATATTATATTACAATATTCTACATGTTTTCATCAGACAGCCTCGGTGGTGTAGTGGTTTAGCACACCAGTTTACTATCCGACGGTCGTGGGTTCGATTCATAAGTATGATTGTGTGTATCGGTCTGTGTGTTTTCTATGTCTAATATGTATTTATTTATAAAAAAAATGTATCCATGTATTTATATCAGTTGTATAGTACCCATAACATAAGCTCTGCTTAGCTTGGGACTAGATGACGCTGTGTGAATTGTCCTGAGATATTATTATTATTTAGACACCCATACAGTTCACCGATCGTTTACACTGGGTATTTAAAGAACCTATATCGGAAGTCACTAGTCCTCCTTGAAGATAGATACATCTACTATACATAATATGATTTACTTATTTCTCATCACAAACATGATGGCAACAATACTTGTAGTATTCTTTATAGTAAAATACTTAAATTTATTACTTGAATCGATTTGTTGTGAGGAGCTGGTGTCTGAAATAGGCATAACCTGTAATACAGATCGCCAGGCCCACAACCGAAATGTGATAGAAGATAAATTATGATGCTTATCTACTATACTGAAGACACAGTAAGAATGTTATGCTGTGAAAATAGTATATTATTGATGTATTTTAAAAAATGTATAAAGATTCAACTTAAAACGAAAAATGTCCTACGATACGATAAAACTTAAGTTCAATGAAATAATAATAATAACAATATCCTTGGACATTTTACACAATGCCATCTATTCCCAAGCTAATCAGAGCTTGTGTTGTGGGTACTAGACAACTGATATAAATACTTAAATACATCGTGCGAGGAATTGACTCGTGACCACCCGGAATTAAATCGGTGTGCTAAACCCCTAGACCAACGAGTCGTTTATATATATATATATATATATATATATCGATATTTTAAAATATAATAATATCCTTAGACAATCCGCACAACACCCTCTAGTCCCAAGTGAAGCTGAGCTTATGTTATAGGTACTAAACTACAGATATTAATACATGGACCTGATATTAACACCCAGACCGATACAAACAATTATACTCTCATACTCAGGAATACATATGTTTGTACTGTGCAAGGAATCGAACCCGCGACCAACAGACGTAAAGCGATGTGCTAAACCACTAGACCACCGAGGCTGTCATATATATATATAATATGTATGTATTTTCATTAAATAAAAATGTGTTTTATGCACAGTTGATAGATGACGCTCTAAATTTAGCGAGAGCCGGAAAACTTAGCTACGACATAGCATTAGAATTGGTTTTAACTATGGAACATGAAACAGAGTATGCGGTTTGGAAAGCATTCGTAAGGAATATGGACTTTTTAAGGAAACGTTTAACAGCACTAGTATTAGACGACGAAGATTTGGATCAAGACATCTATTTGGTGAGTGCTTGTTATTTGTAAAAGAAAAAAATAGGGTAAATAGGCTATTTCGTCGTATAGGGGTGTAATGAATACTATCAATGGATCTTTTATGGATAAAGTAAATATAAAGTTTTACAATAAATTATAAAAGGATATACTTGTATTCCCTTTAAATTTAATTATTATTGTATATGCTTGTGCAGTTATAAATATATAAATTTAAAACTTTCGTTAAATAATATTGATTGAGACAAGCCTATTACTTACTTGTGCATGGAAATATATCTTCATGCACGGGGTCTTCATTTAATATTAGACATAGACAATTAACAGTAAACGGGCTTTAAAAAAAAAGAAACTTAATACAAACTTGACGTTCATAACCTAAGCGAAATGAAGAACGACATATAACTCAATAAAAACTGTAATTAAAAAGAACTACCTTTTTCCCGTTGGTAGTTTTACTGAAACTATACAAAAAGGGGGTATTATAAGTTTGACGTGTTTGGATGTTTGTAACATTGTAGTTCTGTAACTAATTATTTAGTTATGATGTGGTATTTTGTTTAAAAGCTTCCATAATCGAGATGATTCTTAGCTACAAATTATGAATTCAGGCGTTTAAACGTTATCAGCTCTATTGTTAGCTGCGGTTAGGTTAGCTGCGCATTGGCATTCACTTTTCAGAGTTTTTTTTTGTGTCTGGCGTTACTATTTTAACCATACAGATAAAAAAAACTGTTAAAAATAATTACATTTAATTTGTTGCTATATTTTAGAGGATGGTTCGAAGGACAGTGGGCCTTGTAGAAGATGAGCTTAGTTTCTACCCGGATACTCGAACCAGTGAGGGATCTATGGTTTCCTTAACTCGAGGCCTGGTGATGGATCATGCTTGTAGAGCCAATTATGATCCTTGTATCGCAGCAGCTGTCGATTGGTTCTACGACTCTGATGGCGAAGTGTAAGTAGTAATTACCTCATATTTTTGCCATCTATCGAAATAGTATTTTCAAAACATTCCAGGAATTTCATCTAAATCGTTTAGTAGTATAACAAACAGATAAGAAACACATTTTTTTATATATTACTAGTGGCTCCCGTGAGTTCGTGCGCCTATACTGTTATAGATCGCCCTCTACTATTTGATTAATAAATTGAAATAAAATAATATAACAAAGTGTAATTTTATGTTAAATTGTATATAATAAATTATAGTTCAGCAACACTTCTCAAAAGCATGATTATATATTTTTTTAGTAGATTGTAAATTAATAAAAAATATATAATTGTATGTACGCTCTCTACAATGTTATTGACTTATTAATCAGATAATAGAGGGATAATGGTCTAGATTGTTAATGATAGAAATATAATTTTTTTTAAATAATCTCAGGACAATTTACGCAGCGCCATCTAGACCCAAGTTAAGCTAGCTAAGGCTTGTGTTATGGGGACCAGATACAAATATATAGATATATATTTTTTCGTAAATACATACATATTATGACACAAACAATCATACTCATGACTACAAAGGTTTGTGCCGTACGAAGAATTGAACCCGCGACCATCGAAAGTAAGGCGGTGTGCTAAATCGCTAGACCAAGGAGGCCATCAAAAAATTTTTATTTTCTACCTTTGGGGTATAATTATCTCAACTTCTTTCAGCCTATAAATTGAACTACATTTAAGAATATATTCTGTGAAAAAATCATTGTATTTTTGTGTAAATGCTCAACACACGATCAGGCAGACATATATAGTTTTCTAATATTAACTTTTAAGATTTTATTATATACTAACTGTGCCCGCGTTAAATTTCAATAAAAAATATAGCCTATATGTTATTCTGATACATAAGCTATATTACTGTAGTTTCAACAATATCCGTTCAGTAATTCTTGCGTCAAAGTGTAACAAACATCCATACTCACGAACTTTCGCATTTATAATATTACTAGCCGCGGCTTCGCTCGCATTGAATAAAAAATAAGTATAATTTTTTAAATAAAAAGTATACTATGTTCATTCTAATACCTCCACGAACATGTGTACACAATTTCATGATGATTGATTCAGTAGATAGTTTTTGCGTGAAAGCGTAACAAACATTCCTACTTTCACATTTATAATATCGTGTTAAGGATTAAGGATTACATTATGATAAAAGTACCTAAATAAATCTAAAATTAATATATGTTATATGTTTATAGCAATCCAGACATACCTTATGACATTCGACCAGCGGTCTATTGTACGATGGTGAGGGAAGGTGATGACGATGTGATAGAAGCTTTACAAGACCGTCTTGAAATAGAACGTACCATGTATGAACGTGTCGTCATACTCGAGTCCTTAGGCTGTTCGCAAGATGAAGATTTTATTAACAGGTAATAGAAAAATAGAAATAGAAATAATCTTTATTCAAGTAAACTCATTACAAGCAATCTTGAATAGTCATATTTTGATTCTACCACTCATCATCATCATCAACTTGTGAAAAAAAGAAATGGAAATAATTGTATACTGTTTTAAATTTTACGCGGTCATTATTTGTACGTATAATTAGTAAAAATCATGACATCTAACAAAAAAAACGCGGTTAGGAAGTGTATTAAATGAACGTGAAGATATTGTGAGTATAGTTTACCGAGATTAATATTGAGCGAGTGCCAATAGTAGCAAGAAATAAATCAGCAGGTAGATGGTAATTTTTTTTTTGGGCATACATATGCGTATATGTCACATGACGTGTGATGGTATACGCATATAATATGCCCAAAAAAATATTTACCATCTACCCGCTGCTCTTCAATTTAGCCGTGATCATGGTTGAAAAATAATGTACGTATACTAATATTTTTTACTGATTTTCAGCCTTCTTGATGAAACAATAAGCAATAACAGTCCTTATAGCATAGAAGAAAGGTCTAAAATATTCGCAGCAGTCGCTTCAGCAAGCTACGATAATGCTTTTATTGCAATGAATTTCATGTCAAGAAGAACAAATGACATAAGGGAAAAGTAAGAACGGATTGTCTTTGTAATAATTTCGACTACTGACTGATATTTAGACAACTGATATATGTAAATACTTAGTTACATTTTTTTTTGTAAATATAGAAACGTATATTGAATTACAATTGATTATATCCAACACTCTGCTACTCCATAGGAGAAAATATTACTAAAGAAAACAACAAGAATAGGTAGATATTAGTAAAATTGTAATACAAAAAGCAAGAGAGAGCAACGATCGACGTAAACGTGATTAATGTTTATTCTTATATAATAATACTAGTTGACACAGTAAACGTTGTTTTGCCATATACATTACTAATATTGCTATAAAAAACAGGGGTTGGTCGTAAAAGGGTGAAAATTTGTAGTTGTATGTATTTTTCAATGCTAGATCATAATTAAATAAAAAAAAAACAATGTCAAAAAAATATTTAGGGTTGACCCACCCCTAAATATTTTTATTCTTATCGCTTAGGAATATGAAAAATAGATAGTAACCGATTCTCAGACCGACTGAATATATGTACATATAAAGATCAAGCCGTTTGGGAGGAGTATGGTAACTAACATTGTGACACGAGAATTTTATATATAAGATATATTGTTCTATTTAAGGTACGGTGGTTCTGAGAAATTAGAAGAACTTATATTCATTCTCGCAGATAATATGGCTAATCAAGAACTATCGACAGAGGTAAGTCACGACACGACACTATTGAAGTCTAGTTTAGTCTAGTCCACCTACTTTGACAATTTTATATCTTTTAAAACCTGTCAACTGCAATAAAAGCGACTCGCTTCGGTTGTCTTATCGCTTAGATCTTTTCAACTACGCAACGAATTTTAATGCTGTTTTTTGGCAATAGATAGACTGATTTTATATATATATTACATGTACACCACTGCAAAGTAGTGGCAGGTAGCTAGTAATTAATACATAAATAAAATTGAAATATCTGTTTATAATTACAAATTAACAGCTCTTCATTAAGTGCATATTAAAGTACATTTATACGGCACTTGCATCAAAAGTATATTTTTAAAAAAATTATCTGTTCTATCTCGCTATTCGTATCGTATTCGTTATTGTTAATCCGGGTTAAATCGAGGCCGTCAAAATTATAAATATAAATTTATTACAGTTTCAAATATGGGTGAACTCAGTACTCAGCAATTTAGATGACTCTGAGGATATTGCAAGAAGGGCGCTCGAAATGGTAATCACTCATTTAACTTGGGATCAACAGCATTTAGAAGATGTTTATGAGTGGATTGATGAGAACGATGCACGTACGTTAACTGCATCTCTATTTGTATTAGTCACAACACTATGCATTGCATTCTTACAGCATTAGTTAACTGTGTTTTTTTTTTAAACTTGGAATCGTATTCTGGTGGTTGTAATGATTTTATCACAATAATAAATAATAATAATAATTTATTTGTTAAAGTTTTAACAATAAAATAATATTTATTCGTCAGTTTCAACAAACGCACAAAACAAAAGACACATACAAAATAAAAGACTATACAACGAATAATGATAATATGTATACGTAGCATAAAACAAAAGAAATAATAATTGCAATCATCAGAATACCTACTTTCCCTTTAATTTATAATTTAATGTACAATAATATTTTTTTATTTAATTTATCATTATAGAGAATTACGATGACACATGTATATTGTTTTAGAGTATCCTAATTTTGTTATCATAGGATTAAAAGGTAGATTAGGAATTAGCACTTTTAAGGTATATCTTTGATATAACATTAATTGATTTTGTAAATTAATTTTAAATTATAATGTAATTTTATTAGATTGCATCTAATAATGTAGGAATATAATAATCAATTTTATATGCAATTAATAATTAATGTGTAATAAGTAATTATAATTGAATTACGAACTCTGAAACTCTTTATTATCTCGTATGATAATATGTGCAGTTTCAATTACTTTTTTCGGATTTGATACATATACATAATAAATATGTTAAGCTTCTGTACAATTATTTTCTTCAGAGTAGCTATAAATAGGAGTATCTTAAGTTTTACAGTTATATTCTGTCTGTTATTTTGGAGGATTATCAACATCACTTCAGTCTCTTTATTATTTCAATCCACTTCCACTTTATTGTAAATAATAACGACCGGAGCTCAAACCTAAAACGCGTATATCTTCGAGAATAGTGGAGAATATTTCCTTAAACACTTGATCCCAAGTACATCTGTTCTTTGCCTATCGATCAAAAGATGATGAGAATTTTAGTAATAGACAGTTGCGTCAGTGGATTTTAATATATTTCGCCCAATTATACATAGTTGCATGATTATAAAATAAAATATAAAATTCTTCAATAAATGTGTTAAATCCGAAATAAGTTAATAACGAGAAATGTCACATTTTATTACATTAAGGTTTGTAATAAGATCGTTTGATTGTTTCATATATATTTATTATAAGTTAGTAACTAATATTCACATAATATGTTATTTTAAAATTAGAATATACAATAATATACGAGTATAATACAATAATAATTTTACTTATTAAGTTAGGTGTGTGAAATGTGTATGAAACAAAATTGCATAAAGTGATTAATTTACTTATTATAGTTAAAATTTGACTAAATGTAGAACAGATAAATTAGATATTAATTATAAATATTATTTAAAAAATAGGTATTATAAATATAAGCAATATTTAATGTTAAAATAAAAAAAAACGATATATTTTTTAATTTATTTAATAAAATATTAAAATAAGTTATTGTTATAATTTTGTACTGTATTTTCACTCAATGCTTTTAATAATAATATTTTATATTATAATTGTAAGCAACTAAATCTGAAGTGAACGCGTCCTCTTACTTCAAATTTAGCTTAAAGTAATTTACAAGTACCTATAGATTAATAATATAAAAATAAATATTAGTAATTATCAATAGAGATATTTAATTATAATTATAAATTAATTAATTATTAAAACTTCAGTTTTAATTAGTTTCTATTTTATTAATTTATAATTAATATATGGAAATATTATTGTAATATAGACACTTATTAAATTAGGAGAAAAATAAAAGCAGTTTTTTTTATACGCCCACTTAAGATACCACTGAGGTAGACTATTAAAAGGATGCCATGGATGTTTTGCCATGTAAATTAAAGTACTAATTGCCATTAAAAATAGGTGTTAATGGTAAAAAAATAGAGTTTTATATATGTTTTTAATGTCCAATTTAAAAAAAAAATGGATTTCTGGATTCTTTGTAAACACAACTGAAGTCGATAGTTGGCGCTACGTTTTCGGTCAAGACGACTTCTACCAAGGTCTCCCTCTAGTATTCCATGTACATGGCCCATTTAATTCACAGGTTCATATTGTTTAGTTATTACTTCTTCTGCCTACTTCTAATGTTCACTAGTTCGATTCCTCGCACGATACATTTGTATTCTTAAGTATGGTTATTTCTGTTCTTTGTATATTACATACTAGCTGTACCCGCTTTAAATTTCATTTAAAAATACATCCTATATGTTATTCTGATGCATAAGCTATATATACTACTGTAAAGTTTCATCAAAAGCCGTTCAGTAGTTATTGCGTGAAAGAGTAACAAACATACTTACAAACTTTCGCCAATTAAGATATGTGTATTTACAAAATAAATGAATTTAAGGATTCACGTCAGTTGTCTAGTACTCATAACACAAGCACTGCTTGGCTTGGGACTAGATGGCGCTGTATGAGTTGTGCAAGCTTATTATTCCTAATCCAACTAAAGTTTTGGTCTATATGTGTGTATATATATGTGTGTATATAATGTTATGCCCCCATTTACTTAATAATTAAATAAATACATCATATCACATTCTGCCTATATCTATATATCGAATATCGATAGCTACGAGCACATAGATAATTACAAGAAGATTATTTCGTGATCATAATTAGGACATGTGTACAAGTGTTAATTTTCTTTATTATTTTATTGTGTTTTATTAATTTATCTTTAGTAGGTTTATCATTTATGACTAGCTTTGAGTTCGTGGTATTCAGAATGGTATTATTTTTTATATACTAATATTTTGATTGAAAAATGAGTCTGTCAGTCTGTATACAATTTTAAGGAACACCGAATTCGAATCATACAGTTTTTTAGATTAGCTTGCACAAACATACAGATATCGATATGTAAAATCTATAAAAAAAATATAGCTCCCTCAAGAACTAACTAGTAATTGTTTTAGAATTTGCATACCTCCTGAATATCAGGCGAACATTTGTACCTAACCCTGTAAATGTTGAAGCAAATAAATTATTTATCTATCTGTCTATCTAACATTAAAGCGACAAAAATATTGTTATTCATATAAATGTATTTCATTTATATGAATAACAATAGTTTTATTTGTTGCATGTTCCAGTACTCCCTAACAATGTAACTTTCTATAGACCAAAATATATCTAGAACTATTCAAATAATGTGACTGTTATAGATAAATAAATTCTTTATTCACCAATTACAAACACATAACATACATGAGATACAGAAAATACATGAATTAATACAAGAAATGTAGGTGACTTCATGTGCAGCAAAGATGACTAGGCAGCCAACTCAGCATAATGCTACAGATAAATTTGCAGCGCTGATATTCTGTTGGCTCCTGTGCTTATACTGTGTTTATTGTATAATAGCAGACGAGCTAACTGTTGCACGTGATGGTAAGTGGTAACCGTGGCCTAAGGACACGGATATTACGTTATCATGTGAGGCATCACCAGACTTATACTTTGAAATTTCACAGGACTAAGGTAATGTGCCTCTATATTGTTAAAATAATAACTATTTTTTATGTACGCCCTTTATCAAGATACAATGTAATTTAAAAAATCTTCTTAACGCGCTGAATAAATTATTTATTTATTTAAAACTTCATCAGTGTACAGTTTGATGGAGTCCTGACTCCCAAACTAGCCTGTCTATCTTAGGAGTTAGATTCTTCCCAAAACAAGTACGAGTATAACAGTTTTAATTTATTTGTAATTATTCTTTGTAATGTAATTGTAGATATATAGGTTATATTGTAATCCGGATTTATGTAGATGTATTAATTATAAAGATAAGATTTTTATGCGAATATAATCGATAATAAATCTATGTATAAACTGCTTTAAATCTAATATATTATAAACACAATATCAGTGCCGTGCAATAATTTGTTGTGATAATAGTGTAAATAGCGGAGAAAATGAATAACGCCAAAACTGTAATACAAAAAGAAATTAAGTGGAAATCTTATATATTTATTATTCTCACATTGTTAAGTGGTATCACTAAATGTTTTACATTAAATAATATACAAACGGTAGACGATATTAAAGATGACGTGAAAGTAACAGATCATGAAGAGGTAATTAATACACGAAATGTATTTAAACAGCTAGCACCGGGTCAAACTGTTCGAAGGTATTCCATTGAAATAAGCATTGACGGTGAAAGATTTGAAGGTCGTGCTGTACTTAATCTAGCATTTACTGGTACAGCAGTGGACAATCCAATAATTCTTTATGCAGAAGATTTAAATATACGCTCAGTGGATACAGGATTCGAAGAATCAAACTTACGGCCAGGCGACTTCAATGTTTATGATGGACTATTGGAAATTATACCAGTAATATATTTTATGAACATGGTAATCATCATTGAATATCGTGGAACATTGTCGACTTATGGACAAGGAGGACTTTATCGAGGCCATTATGATGACAGGTTAGTTAATAATAGGTTCACATACACATACACACATACACTGCACTTACTTAGTTTCGGTCCGTAAGTGTGGTATAATCCACAAATGTAAAAAACGAGCCAAAGCTATGAACATGAGACAAATAGTAATAATAATAATAAACAAATGACTTGGTGATATAAGCCCGTCCTTGTCATTACATATATAAGCACTTATAAGACTATCAACTGTATCTTGTAGAACTGTGAAATAATAATAATAATACATTTTTGCTGCTTTTTACACAAAGTGTAAAAAGCAGCAAAAATGCTGTACAAATGAGGCAAATTTTAATCATAATAATAATACCCCAGGACAATTCACATAACGTCACCTAATCCCAAGCTAAGCAGAACTTGTTTTATGGGTACTAGACAACTGATGTAAATACTTAGATTTTTTTTGTCACACTCAACACTCATATTTATCAGTATAATAGTTCGTAGAGTGCGAAGAATCGAAACCGCGACATCAGAACTATACCCGTGTACTAAACCGCTAGGCCACGAAGGCCGTCAACAACATAAATATTACCAATCAGATCAAAGTTTATTGCTAACCTTAGTATGAAATCTATACCGACGGCCTACAGAAAAAAAAATATAGTAGAAAGTTTAGATTATCTCTAGATTATTTGAATATTTTGCAGTTTTTACTTTTTATTCGATATAATCAATGTCAAGTCTACTTTTATATATAAAAATGCTTGCTGAATATTTATAAAATAATTTATAAAAAAACATAAAACAAATAGGTACTTAGTGCATTTTTTTTAAGTAATTACATTAATGAGTTATAAAAATATCGATCCAAAAACAGAATACTTATATTACAAATACCTATAACCTTATGAATTGAATCATTAGTCAACATAATCAAAGACGTACTTTAATCTTTTGTACGAGATAAAGAAATAGACATTATCACTATCAGATCACGAATCTAAAGATCTTATTTTAATTAGATTAATATAGATAGAACAAGTAAAATACATATAAACTGAAAATAGATGTATCACAAGAAACCTAAAAATAATCTCAAATTCTATTACAAACATAGCTTTATGATTGTGATTAATAATAAGAATTTATGTATTTATTCTTTTGCACACAAAAATGTATACATGGCGGACTTAATGCCTGATGGCATTCTCTATCAGTTAAGCGTCGCGTTGATCAGAGATATATGTACCTACATATATACCTACATATATCTCTGATCAAAATATACAAACATACTAATATACTCGTATAAAATATATAAGCTTATGATTAACATACAAATAAATCGTAAAAAATATAATAAATATTCCTGGAATATATCTTCAAATAGAAGTTTGGCTGACTATTAGACAAATTTTGAATAATAGAGTTATTATTTTACGTCATTTATCCTAATGTTTCAGATCATACTTAGCAATGAATTTACATCCAACAAATGCGAGGCGAGTTTTTCCTTGTATGGACGAACTGACTGCGTCATCAGATATAACATTTAGCATCAAAAATAGTGACTACACGTCTATTGTATCTAATTCTCCATTACAAAATAATGACACGTAAGTTTTTTTTTAAATATTTTTACATAATAATTTATATAAATTCTGCATGTGTCTCTGTTTCATTTATTCCAACCGCCGAGCTGTGTAAGTTGTGTTATCTTTTTCTTCCAAATTTGAATTTAAAAATTAATCTTTATTTTTATAAACATGTTCAACATTTATTTGAAATGAATACGAGCTAAGTTTCTTGTCAGTTCTTCTCATCTCGAAATCATTCCAAACTGACGGTAGATTTGACATACCATAAGAGTCTATAATAGACCTATAGGAACAAAGATATTTTGAATTTTGAATTGAAAGGTGAGACCGCATGACGAACCATGAGCATTATATGCTATCCATGATTCTGTTTATTTTATAAGTGATTAGTATGAGTTACCGTGATAAATAAATAAATTTTATATCAACAAGCACCTAAGCTTGTTGAAATAAAATTTATTTATTTATCATATAAATGATACATACAATGTTGTGGCCCGTGGCTCGCGTTCCCACCAAATGTGCTGCCCACCTTCATGGAAGAGGACTACTGGCAGAAGGGGTGGTGTATAGTCGCAACTATGGCAGATTGCCGTCGTCAGTGCCGTGACAATAGAAACAAATTAAATTTATATTTTATTATTATTTCATTTGTATGTTAGGCTATAAGCTTGATAAAAAGAGCCATGCCTTTACGTTTCTATAAAAAACATTAAATAATATATATTTAAAATGAATTTCAGATTCCAGTCGTTGCGAATGCCCCCTCACCTCTTGGGTATGGTAGCACATAATTACACGGAATACGTTATACCGACACCAAATGTTCAGTTAATAAATTACCAAGATTCAGGAAAACAATATGAAGAAGCCGCAAATATTATTGAATATTATTTTAACGCTTTCAATATATGGACGAATTTGAACTATTTTGATATACAGCAAAACCAAGCGGATAAACTTACTATAATTGCATTACCTGATGTCTCCAAACAATGGTATTCGCTTTCTATAATTGGAATATGGTGAGTACAAAAATTATTATCTACGACCTCGGTGGCCTTACTTCCTATGGGTTCGAATCCTCGCACGGCACAAACATTTATGAGTATGATTGTTTGTATCGGTCTAGGTTAACCTAACCTTAAAACTTCCTCTTGAATCCTTCTATCTATTATAAGAAACCGCTTCAAAATCCGTTGCATTGTTTTAAAGATTTAAGCATACATAGGGATGGACAGATAGCGACAGCTACTTTGTTTTATACTATGTAAAGAAAAGTAAGTTAAGTAAGTTAAAAAATACTTGTCTATTACTCATGACTTCAACTGCATGACCCATAACATCCCAAAATTATTAAATTTTGTGAGAATCAGTTTAGCTGTTTAAAGTAAATTAATACTTTGAATAAATTAAACTCACTACTCACTCACTCATATTATAAGTATACTTGTTAAACTGTAGCCATGTAACCGAAAATAGCCAAAAATTTAAGTTCGATGAAAATGCATTATTTCCCGGTTCAATTTTTTTAATTTTTAATTTGCAATGGTTTTGTTTAGTTAACATTCTGAAATATTATATTTTAATACGTAAAATGTTCATTTTTTATATACTTTCCTTCACATTTAATTAATCAGATTATCATCTTTGATATAAATTGTCTATTTGATGAATTTGGAACATTTAAATTGGAATGGATCAAGAAAATCTTGCCAGATAGCTCTCAGATAATCGATCTTTCTAACTGCAATAAGTCTAGGATATACATAATGAGATTTTTTTAAATACGCTTTCCTAGAAAGCGTCAAACAAATGGCAAATATCTCCCAGTTCTCACAGTTAATATGTTTTGTCTGATTTTTACACCATATTACATCATACACACACATTAAAATAAATGAATCATCATAGTAATAATAAGGAAATTTAAATGTTCTTCTTAATCTCATGCAGAATTTGTCAAATTACCTATTTATTATATTATATTTCTAAGACATTCACGAAACCCTAGGAAAAACGAGAAAACCTTAGACGAAATTATAGCCATATTCTGTTTTCATTTCAGGGAGCCCTACATTCTTATAGAACCTGAACATTCAGTACAACAGAGAAGTATTGGTATTCTGAAAACATCAGAGGCTCTAGCGAGACATTGGATTGGATATGCCATCTACCCAATGGACTGGAAACATGAATGGATCATATCAGGTCTTGCAGCATATGTAGGTTGGAATGTCTTTACAGAGGTGAGTACTTCATCATCAGTTTCTTCCTTATCTCATTTATTTGGGGTCGGCGTAATAAGTTTTTCTCTTTCAGTCACCCCTGTTCGTAGTCATCTCATATCTTACTTCTGTATAAAACAGGATTATTTTATGTAATGGAATAATAAATAAGTTGACTATCTGAGGTTAAGTAGATACGGTCACCTATCTATATAGTATATCAGAATTCTCAAAGTAGCATTGTCCGTCTCACCCCCAGACTACAATCTAAGTATATTTATCAGTTGTATAGTATCCATAATACAAGCTCTGCTTAGCTTATGACTGGCTGTTAGAATTATCCAGAGGCATTATTATTATTAATTTTCAGCATCAAAACGATCTTGCAGAATCTTACCTAGATGTCAACGCATTGTTCGTCACGGAAATTATCCAAGAAAGTTTACTCAGAGATGCATATATAATTTCTAAACCTTTAGAACCCGAGTATAACTTATTTGATGAACATATAATAAGAAATCATATCAATGGACTAATAAAGTATAAGGCTTCAGCTATAATGAGAGTATTCAGACTCGCGTTTGGTAATGAAGAACAAGACATTATACAAGCAGCAACCCGAAGCTTACTAAGCAACAGGTAGGTGTACCATTATTTTTTTTATGCAATACCTCAGAGCGAATCTCTTTAGCCTTTATCACCATCAATTCCGGCGTTTAAATAGACAAGTACCTATTAGTAGGAAACAAACAATAATTGGTGTTGCATAGATGAATAAATTGCTGCCATCTAATCGGAAGTTCATTTATGTCTTTACGATAGAACTCTGGTGATCTAGATTCAAGAAACTGTGTGACAGCATTTTGTTTCTCTTGGGAAGATTTTTTTTATTACGTGGTTCAAATCATGAGCAAAATTTCTAATGAACGACTACCGTTCATTAGAAATCTTTCCAAACGCAGCGTTGATATTGCGAGCCATTTCTGCTACGTTAGTTCCGTGTCTGAATTCGTATTCAAAAATGAATCGGATTTATTATTCGTAGTATTCATCTTTCAAATCTAAGCTGAATAAGAAAAACAACTGAAATACGAAATTGAATGTTGCACATTTTTTAAAATAATGAGAAATCTCTCTCTGTAAACATACACGTGTACAATGTGCGACTACTCTATTGTCCATTAATGAACGTCATTATTAAGAAATGAACTCTTAGACAATAGTTATTTAATACTTTATTTATTATACTCGTGAACGAGTGCTACTTGTAGGGACTGGTCTGTTCAGTTTAAAAACACTGATTAGACTTTTTGCTATTGTAATAGCATATGCTGGCGGTCACTCTACATATTCTCCCAAATTTGAATTTAAAATTTAATCTGTTATATTGTAAACATATACAAAATTTATTTGAAAAGAATACTAGCTGAGTTTCTTATCAGTTCTTCTCATCTCGAAATCATTCCGAACTGGCGGTAGATTTGACATATTATAAGAGTCTGTAATAGACCTACATGAATAAAGATATTTCGAATTTGAATTGAATTATTCTATTTAAAATAAAAGCACAATTAGCGAGCTTAATGCCGTATTGAAGGGTAGTAATGGTAGATGGCATACGTTTGGTACTTACCTTACTTATTACTATTATTAATTATTATTACTATTACAGAATTTACCGCCGTGAAGTAAGCACCATGAATTTCATTGAAGCCGTTTCTATTGCTCTATTCATTTCCGGCAGTCACTTAACTAACGCCCAATTAAGGGAAATAGTGAATACGTGGACACAAAATACTGGATATCCGGTACTGCAAATAGACTTGAGACTTCAGGGAATAATAGTCACTCAGGTAGTTTTTTGTATGTTATAGGAATAGCTAACAAGTACTGACCTGACGGGAAATGGTCAATTGTTGCTCTCTATGACGTCGACAATGCCTCTGATTATTAATACATTATACTATCTGACCCCGCAAACGTTGTTTTGCCATGTGATTTAAAATCGCTATTAAAAAATAGGGGTTGGTGATAGAAGGATGAAAATTTAGAGTTGGACAACCCTTATCACTTAGGGGTGTGAAAAATAGATAGTAGCCGATTCTCAGACCTACTGAATAAGCATATAAACTTGGATAAAAATCGGTCAAGCCGTTTCGGAGGAGTATGGTAACTAACGTTGAGACACGAGAATTTTATATATAAATTTTCTTTGTATTGAATATATAGTGTATGTGTAACACTAATATTAGTGATATTCTGTTTACTGTCGGCTCGCGTCGGACGCAGCAGATCGTGTGGCTTAGAGGGGGGATATTCCCCGTGCAAACGCCGCCGAATTAAGAAACAGAGCTTTGGCTAACGAGCCGATATTATGGATATAATAACTAATATATTTGGAGATATAAGAAGTCTTAAATAGCAGAATAAAGCTAAACATATTGGACCAATTTTTATTTCGGACTACTCTTATGCTGTTGGCCGCAGCTGGCTTGGCTCCTGCCAATAGAATTCTATAGTTATAGAACGTCTTAATGACGCATACAAGTTGAGTCTGAGAGGTACAAACCCCAGCTTAGGCCGTTAAAATTCTGATCACCGTTTGAATTGGACGGGGGATCGATGAGAGGGGCAAATGGACTGATTTTAAAAAACTATTCACTCAGAATAATACTTTAAAAGTGTGCAGCGTCGCATACATTAGTGCATTAGATACATTAGTAATTATTTTTTTATTGCAGGAGCATTTTTCTTTTAATTACAAAACAATGGCGCCATTTCCGGTTCCGTTTACATACACCACAAGTTTAAATGTTAACTTCACCACAGAAAATATATACCCCCAAGAAATCTATAATACGGATGCTCCTTTACTAATAAATATGAATTTGCAAGAGGATGGTTGGGTAATTTTTAACATTCAAGGTCAAGGTGAGTAAAAAGGCCTTTTTTTTAAATTGATAATGGTACATTCGACTGCACTAACGGTATACGCTAACAGGGAATCAGTGGAGGATGATAGGATGAAGTCAGGACACTTAGCCCATAATTGTGCATTTACCAGAAATTAACATCGATTATTTCAAGGGAGAACCTCGCGGAGGTTGGTGTGGTAAAATTTATTTTGAGTTTTGACACTAATTAAAATTAAGAATCTTATTTGTCTCGCACTTTTAACTATTCGCGTTCGTAACTAAATGTAGTATCCGTCCAGGTGGACTAGCAAGAGGTAGTACTACCTCTTGCTAGTCTTTTCACTCATCATACTGTTTGAAAGTATTGTAGTTTATCCACGCGGATCGTGAAACCACAAGTAGGAAGTTGTACAGATCTAGGGGTTTGTACTCGTAACAAGTGTATAAATATTTTTTACTCATCGTCATCAGCCCACTGCAGTCTACTACTGGACATAGGCCTTTTCCAAGACTCACCACTGGGTACGATCATCAGCCCTTCTTGTCCAATCTTAACCCGCACCTTAATCCCCGCGTCCCCTCGTCATCGCTCTACCTAGTTACGGATCTTCTTATGCTACTATTCTCAATTCGCGGTCTCCATTCTAAGACACGTCTGCTACAGCGACCATCGGTTCTGCGACGTATATGATCAGCCCACAGCCACTTCAACTAGCAAGTTCGTAAAGCCGTCGGTGATTTTAGTTCTTAGTTCTATTGATTTTTGATTACCTACAGGGTATTACCGCACCAACTACGATGTCACATTATGGCAGCGTCTGTTAGCAGTACTACAAGATCCGGAAAAGAGAGACGTCATACATCCTATAAATCGAGCTGTTGTACGTATTATGTATTATAGACACTTTATTTAATGCTTTTGACGGTTCGGTGATCCAGCGGTTTAGTACACCGCTTTATTTTCGATGGTCGCGGGTTCGACTCCTCACACGGTGCAAACAAACATTTGTTGTTCACACTATATATATAAATGCGAATTATTTATATATATAGTGCCAACAACAAATATTTCTTTGCTCAATGTCTATCACATTCCATGAATAGGTGCTCTACATCTTGGACTTTTTTACACACGACACTTGTTATATATAGTTAAGTATTACATAACTATTAAAATACATCTCACTAATATAATAAACGTGAAACTTTGTGAGTGTGGATGGATGGATGAATGTTTATTACTCTTTCATGCAAAATCTATTAAATGGATTGTAATGACACTTTACAATAATGTAGCATCAGAGTAATACATAGATTATAAATTTCACGCAAATGAAACTGCAGACACAGTTAGTTTAAACATAGGTATAATAATAATAATCTCAGGACAATTCACACAGCGCCATCTAGACCCAAGTTAAGCTAGCTAAAGCTTATGTTATGGGTACTAAACAACTCATACAAATACATAGATAATTTTTTTTCGTAAATACCATACATATTATACATAGAAAATACCCAGACCGATACAAACAATCAACCTCATGAATCATGAATCAGGAATCGAACCCGCGACCATCGGACGTAAAGCCATGTGCTAGACTGCGAGACCATCGAGGTCGTCAAAACGGTATAACTGTACCTGAACTAGAATAGAATATACTGTATCTCAGATGTCACATAAGGTATGTGAAACCTGAGAAACTCAACCAAGGGTGGTTAATTGTTATTTATTATTAATCTTACTAAATATTCAGTATTTTATTATTATTCTAATAGCTACTGGACGACGCCTTGAATTTAGCAAGAGCAAATAGACTAGACTACGACATTGCTTTTAATTTGGTCCTGACTATGGAGCATGAAGTGGATTATCCTGCGTGGAGAGCATACATTAGGAATATGGACTATATAAGGAAACGTGTCGAAGGAGCAGCTTTAAGTAATGATCACATGGATCCCGACGCGTACTTGGTAAGTAACTCTACCTACATACACACCATTATCTGAAGAAAAATTCCATGAAACTATATGAATCTTATTTGTAGTAAATTTTTTATATAATCGATGTGCTTGAGCATGAACAATTTACTTATTTATATGGGTATATTGGTATGTTTATATATTTGCATATAAATATATATATATTTGTTTCTACAATTATCTTCTTTATATCTTAACTAGGTACTCTCCCCGGCTTCGCACGAGTATACACGTACTCGTATTATATATATAAAAATTCCTCTAGAATTACACTATCTATTAAAAAAAATCCGTTGGATAGTTTTAAAGATTTAAGCATACATAGGCATAGATAGAGACAGCGACTTTTATACTATGTAATGATATCTATGATTAAATTGCTTAACATGTATTATCTCTAATTAGCGTGACGATTGACTGGTAGAGAATGTCATTAGGTGTTAAGTCTACCATGTATATAATTTTGTGTGCAAAAGACTCCTAAGTATAAAGTATATAAATAGCGTCGCATGAGTGGTAACATACGTGATATCGATGTTCTTGTTGCAAGTATACACATGTCGGTTACCATTACTTTAATTATCATTCCAGTTGAATAATAAAATATATCAGCACCCTTAATTATTTTTAGCGTATTTTCCGAAAAACAATTAGAAGAAAGGAAAACATTTGTATTCATGAGTATGAATGTTTGTATCCATCTAGGTGTTTCCTATATATATATATATATGTATTTATGAAAAAAAAAATATATATGTATTTGTATCAATTATCTAGTACCTATAGCAAGCTTTAGCCAGCTTAACTTAGGTCTAGACGGCACTGTGTAAATTGTACTGTGATTATTATTATATGTATATACATATAATAATTGTTATTTTTAGCGTATTCTTCGAAAAACAATTAGAAGATTCGAAAAGGAAATTGGATTTTATCCGAACATTTCGATCGCGGAATCACCGATGACTTCACTAACTCGAGGTCTGGTAATGGACCACGCTTGCAGGGCCAACTACCGTCCGTGTATTGACGCTGCCAGAAAGTGGTTCTATATTAACGACACTGAACTGTAAGTCACATCACACGTTGCATTAATAAAAGAAATATAAATATAGCAAAATCGACATTGCACATTTGTTGGATAATGAATACTTATAAAGTAATCAATAAAATAGAGAGTGGACTGTATATTTCGAAAAGAAAATAATTATTGGAGAAGATAAGAATTGGGAAAAGAAGGAGAAATACAATTTCACCCGGGAAGAACGTCTTCCACACTCCGAACACCCTAAAATAAGCAATAACTTACTCACTTTTGCTCAGGAACGTCCCGACGTGTAATACTGTTTAGTGGACACGCACTGTAGAGTGTATATTTTCATTAAAAACAACTATATTGTAATAATTAAATCAATATGTTACTTGTTTTATATAGTTAAAAATACGGAGCGTCCTTTTTATTCCAGTTCTCATTTTCAATTGTTTTTTTATTCTATATTCGAAATTTAAGTTTTTATTTGTGGCCAGTATTACCAAGCGCGCCAAGCAAGACGGTGATACAACCTGCTTAGACTAAGGTGGTTCGGAATACAAAACAACATTTAATTTTAAAGTCGATTTCTGAACATTTGCTTATTTTTAGTTAATGCAGTCAACTACTAAGCGTGCCGTTTACCTATTGGAATACTAGTACGCATTTATTATTGAAACATTTGTATTGGAGCAATGCTTATTACTCATTAAACTATCACATGAATGACGACCGTACATGGCAATAGTTGTTTATGCAGAGAATTTTATTTTACTGTTATACATAGACACTATATAATAAACACTGTAAATTATTAATTTACAGTATTTATTACATGGTGTCTATGTCTTGTAAATTAACTGCCTTAAAAAAAAGAAAGTAATTCAATTTAGTTTCTTGCCTGTTCTTTTCAATACAATATACTTTCAATTACAATATACTGAACTGGACGGTAGGGAAAAAACTATAGATACATAAAAAAAATTACGTTCATGAGCGGCTAAAATGTCCTACATAAATGAATGATTTTTGAATTTCGAATTTGAATTTTTGAATTTTGTTGGAAGTTAAGATAATAGAAAAATATTATTTTCAGCAATCCTGATATACCACAGGACATCAGACCAGCTGTTTACTGTGCTATGGTGAACGAGGATGGTAACCGAGTCATACCATTACTACGCAGTCGTATCTGGGTAGAGAAGTCGTTGTATGAACGCGTTGTCATATTGGAATCATTAGGATGTTCCCGAAATGAGTCGATTATAAATACGTAAGTTAAATTCTAATACCAAAGTCGTCTGTTAAAATTCGTAAAATCATAATATATAATACTATAATAGCGAAAATTTGTGAGATGTTTGTTACTCTTTCACGCAAAATATACTAAACTAAATTTTAATAAAACTTTACAGTAATATAGCTTATGCATCAGAATAACACATAGGTAATATTTTTTATTGAAATTTAACGCGGATGTAATCGCGGGCACAGCTAATAATATTAAAAACGCGAAAGTTTGTGCGTATGGATGATTGTTTGTTACTCTTTCACGCAAAAACTACTGAACGGATTTTGATGATACTTTACAGTAATATAGCTGAAGCGGAGGTATCAAATGTGTCTGATGAGTGAGAGGTGCTGAGGGTTTTAATGAGGAAAATACGGAGATTGAATAAAATGCGACTAGTATGACATTGATATATAATAGAAAGTGAACAATAAAGAATATGTCAAAGAATATTATTATAAAATTTAAAAATAGTATAAAAACCTATCAAGGAGTTCGCTACAATAGCTTATACATTAGAATAACATATAGGCTATAGATTTGGTGAAAGCTCGGGCACAGTTCGTACTAAATATATTGAATGTGGGTAATACGGGCGATCAATGTATTTTGTCACAATAAAATTATACACAGTAAAAATAAAATTATTTAAAAGAGCAACACGCAAGTTTCTTTCTCGTTCTTCTTGTGATGAGAAAGCTTTCCGAATGAGCGGTAGAGTAAAAAACATGTGATGACTATTTAAAAGTTTTTCAATGTAAGTTTATTTCAATGATTTTATTTTCTATTCTATTCTTTTCGTTGGTATTTGTGAAATAATAATACTAAATTTGAATAATAATACTAAATACTAATAATATATTGTTACAGGCTTCTAGTAGACACAATTCATGACTCTATTCCATACACGGTTGAAGAAAGGTCCAGGATTTTCAAAGCAATAGCTGGAAGTCACTATGAAAACGTCGATATAGCTTTTAGTTTTCTTACATGGAACATTGAAACTATAAGAAACAAGTAAGAATGAACAATGCATGATATACTAGCAATATACCTCTACCATCTACCATTACCTATTCATTTATTTTTCATTTACCATTTATTTACCAGCGAACCGCTCACCATCGACAGGGAATTCATTCCCACACGCTAGAACTTACAAGTATGTGATTTTTATTACATTTGTAGATACGGCGGTGCTGAAAAAATTGAAGAAATTATATACACGCTGGCCGAGAATTTGGTGGATACCATTCAAACTCAGGAAGTAAGTATGTTATTCTATAATCTTAATAATATAAACACGAAAGTTTGTGCCTATGGATAATTGTGGGTTTTTCACGTAAAAAAACCTACTGAACGGATTTTGATGACATTTTACAGTAATATAGCTCATCAGAATAACACATGGGCTATATTTTATATTGAAATTTAACACGAGTGATACCGCGGGCTCAGCTAGTCATTTATAAAAACGCACTATGTGTACAGCCTACAGCCGTATCTCAGATGATTATTTTTGTTACAAGTATATTTAGATTATTATCAGAAAGATAGTCGAAAACGTTTTATAGACTTATACAAAGTAGTCTTCGAGGATACCTGTATCATACTTATTTTAGTCGGCCAGTAGTTACTTCGAATTGTCTGTTCCGTTTGCTAGTTGCTTGTATAATGCCTTTTTTGCCCGAGTCATTGTTCATAGGCCGACAAGATGGCGGCCTATGAACAGCGATTACTCTCGAAATACAATAAATATATAGTTAAATACATACGAGTATAATAAAAAATAATTATTTCAAAGTTCTTATATTTCGTTTATTTCAATAAAAATTGATTCTAATCTATTTAAATTGATATACGTAATTTTGGTTGTCGGCGAGATACGATCGCACTACTCGTACTTAGGTCTAGTCGGAGTAATATACTAATAATAACCCTGGACAACTCATACAGCGCCATCTAGTCCCAAGCCAAGTAGAGCTTATGTTACGGGTACTACGCAACTGATACAAATTCATTCATTCATTCATAATTTAAGAGCTGTGCTCTTGACGGTGGAGCTCCCGCCAACTTCCACGATCTTCTATCAATCCTTTTAGCTGTTGATACGACACGACTTCAACTTTTTCTTTAACTTGCTTGATATAGCTGTGTCTTGGTCTTCCTCTCTTTCCATCTATTTTTCCTTCAATAATGTTGTTAATTAGTTCGTCGTGTCATATCTTCTTTAACCCTTTCAAGCACTTCTTCATTCCTTATTTTATCTGTCCAGTTAATTCTTTCCATCCTTCTCCAACACCACATTTCAAATGCTTCCAGTTTGTCTCTTTCCTTTTGTGTCAATGTCCACGTCTCACAGGCATACTATGCTATACACCAGATGTAGGTCTTGATAAGTTGTTTCCGAGAGGACTTTGATATATTAGCTCTCAAAAGATGTTTTTTATCATTAAACGCTTATTTTTCAATAGCTAGTCTAATATTAATGTCCTTAGTACATCTGGAGTCACTGGTAATCAAACTAACTAAATATTTAAATGTGTCTACATTTTCAAATTGTATTTTTTTATTCCTGTAGTATTTTTGTTATGGGGTTTATGTTTTGTTACTGTCATTATTTTAATTTTTTTGGTATTAATATTCAGTCCATGTGTTTTAAAAATTCTATGCATAATGTCCAAAAGTGTATGAAGCTGTGTGTAGTCTTCTTATAAAATGTATCCTTTGTTCGTTTATTTGGATACCTCCCTGGTGTAATTCTATTATTTCTTTTACTGCAGCATCTATAAAAATATTTAAAATGAGAGTGGACATCCTTGTCGTACTCCCTGCTTCAGTTTAGCTCTTTCTGTTACATTTCCTATCTCTATTGTAGTTTCTTGGTTTAAGTTGATAACTTAGTTTCCTATCTCTGTAACCTATACCTACGTCTTTTAAAATTTGCACCATTTTTTCTAATTTACTTTATCAAAGGCTTTCTCTAAGTCTACGAATGCAATACAAGTCTCCCTACCAAGTTCCATTCTTCTGTCCATTATTAAACGTAGTGCTAATATTGCTTCACGCGTTCCTTATTTTATTCTAAAACCGTTTTGATCTGGACCTATGAATCTCTCTGTGTATGGTCTTATTCTGTTCTGGATTATTTTTAAGAGTATTTTGGAAATATGTGTTCGATATTCTTCACATTTTAATGTATCTGGGATCTGTATATGCCTTATTTGGGAGTGTTACTGTCTTACTTAATGAAAATTCATTTGGTATATTACCTGTTTCGTATGTTTCACTAATTATTTCATAAATTTTATCTTTTATCTATATATTTAATAATTGCTATATAAATATCATCATTACCAACTGCTTTTCCACTTTGAATACTACTTACAGCTTTATCAAATTCTTTTCTTAATATTGGTGACCCAAGTCTGTCTTTATCTATTATGTCTTCGTCTTCTATATCCTTATCACTTATGCCTCGACCATTGTAAAGATTATTTATCTACGAGTATCTTTTCCACCTATTTATTATGTCTTTATTGTTAAATAATATTCTCCTATTTTCATCTAATATTGCAGTAGTTTTTATTTTAGGTTTCTTGTCAATTTCTCTAATCATATTATAATAATATGCTCTACTCATTTTTCCTTTTTTCATATGGTCATAAATTTCACTACAAGTCTTTTCTATGTCCTTCTCTTTACTTTCTCTACCTTTTAGAGTATATCTTTTATATTCCTTTATACTATTTTCATCTCTTTTGTTTCTTAGTTCTTCTTTCTATAAGGTCTATTATTTCAGTAGTAAGCCATTTCTTTCTTGGTATTATTTTTTGTTTTTCTTTGCTCTCCTCCGCCGATGTTTTAATAATATATTTTACTATATTCCACCTATCTTCTATATTTATATTCTTATTATTTAATATACCCTTTTGGGTTTCTATTTTATCTTTTAACTTATTACTATATTGCGCCCTATTATTGTTTTTTAACTTAAGTTTTGTGAGATCTTTTTTTTACTAGAAAATTATGTGTGCTAGTTAAAAGGTTGTGGTCAGTATTAAGGTCAGCCCCTGGAAGTGTTTTGTATGAGGTTATTTGATTGCGATGACTAATACATAAATATTTTTCTTTTGTGAATATACATATGTATATAAAAAGTACTTATACCAATACAAACACACATACTCATAATTCACAACGTGCGAGGTATCCAACCTGTGAGTATGTAAAGTAAAGCGGACTGTTAAACCGCTAGATCTCCGAACTGTCAAATGCCACGTTATCACCTAACGCAATGCTATATTTGTATTGGAGGCTATTTAATATTTTTTTATTGAATTGTTTCAGTTCCAGTGGTGGGTACTTTCTATCAACAATGGGTTGGCTGATTCCATCACAGCTGGAATGGAAGCAAAGGATCTAGCCTTTGAAAATCTCAATTGGGTCACTAACAATATTGATTCGATTTATGAATGGTTTATGAAAATCGTAGACGAAACTCGCCCTGACTGTGAGGACAGTGGTGACTGTGTCAGTAGTGGTAGTGGTGACAATAGCACTGACTGTGAGGACAACGATGACTGTGACAGTAGTGGTAGTGGTGACAATAGCACTGACTGTGAGGACAACGATGACTGTGACAGTAATGGTAGTGGTGACAATAGCACTGACTGTGAGGACAACGATGACTGTGACAGTAGTGGTAGTGGTGACAATAGCACTGACTGTGAGGACAACGATGACTGTGACAGTAGTGGTAGTGGTGATAATAGCACTGACTGTGAGAACAACGATGACTGTGACAGTAGTGGTAGTGGTGACAATAGCACTGACTGTGAGGACAACGATGACTGTGACAGTAGTGGTAGTGGTGACAATAGCACTGACTGTGAGGACAACGGCGACTGTGTCAGTAGTGGTAGTGGTGACAATAGCACTGACTGTGAGGACAACGGCGACTGTGACAGTGGTGGTAGTGGAAATGAGGAGCCTTTGTGTGTTGATGAAGATAGTGATGAATGTGGGGATGATGCTCCAAAATTTGTAGTCTCTTGCCTCTTAATAGCCTTATGTGTATCAATTACATTTTTTGTATAAAAAACATATATGTATTAAGTATCAGATAAAAATTTTGTATAAAATATATAGTAATACAAAATATCAAATTTATTTATTAATGCTAATAAATAATGTAAAGTTGTGTGATGACGTAACAGGAGTACTGAACTACATTAAGAATGAAGAAGCAATTGCAGTAACTAAAAAGACATTTTTTTACAATTGCAAATATTTTTTTTTATAACACAGGAGACAAACGAGCATGCGGATCACCTGATGGTATGTGATTACCGCCGCCCATGAGCACCCGCAACACCAGGGGAATTGCAAGTACGTTGTCGGTCTTTTAAAAAGGAATAAGCTCTTTTTTGAAGGTTTCAATATCGTATCGATTCGGAAATACTATTGCTGGAAGGTGATTCCACAATGTGGTTGTGCGTGGCAAAAAGTTTCTAGAAAACCGCACTTTGGAAGACCACCATTCATCCAGATGATCAGGATGGTATTTCAGTTTCTGGCAAGTGGTACGGTGGTGAAACTCAGCAGCTGGTATTAATCCGAACAATTCCTTAGAACACTCCCCGTGATATATGCGGTAGAAAATGCACAGAGATGCAATATCTCGCCACAAAGCCAATGGGTCGAGTCTGTCACATAGACGTTGATTAACAATGATTCTGGCTGCGCGGTTCTGAATGCGGTCAAATGGAAATAGCTGGTATTGTGGTGCTCCCGCCCAGAGAGGAGAACGGCAAAGCCGGCCTCGCCGTCTCTAGTAGTGGTGGACGGCGTTGAGATTAGAATGAATTCCCCTGATGTTGCAAAAACTGACTATGAGCAAGGGAAATGCCGATGGAGATTTGCTCGATTTCCTATTGGCTAAATTGAGCGGAGTATTGCCCACCCCAGAATACGCAGGGCACCCTGAGTGTGATATCTCAGGGGTGGATTCTCCAGTAACACCGTTACTGGTACCACCCTGGGGTAAAAATGTCTTGTATTCCGCTGCCATGGTATGTAAGAAAGGGGTGGGTAGGGAAAGGAAGTAGAAAAGGGTTAGGGGGAGGGGGAGGGGCGTCCGGAACCTACAGCTCATCATTCTACTCTTCATACCTATTATTGGGATAGAACTGATGAGATGCGAATTAAAATCGGTTTCGAATAAGCAAAACTAAAAGATTTATAAATGCGAAAATATGCCTGTTTCTTAATATGCCAGTCCCTCGATGGACGGAATTAGGCCATTTTTATGTAATAAAAGTAAAAGTAAAAGTAATCGCCTAGGGTAATAGATAAATATAAAAGAAAAAAGATATTCATTTAAATTTTAATAATTTATTCTTTTATTATATGTTCCTCTATGAATTTCTATTTCATTGAGCAGTCCTATTATCAGAATATGAGGTTTTAAACGCCAAAAGGTATAATAGCTTTATTATCATGGAACATAGAAATATTTAATTACTATTTTATTTTGCATTTATAACATATATAACATAATATATTTATTTTAACATTATTTACTATTACCGTCCAGAAGCTACTGAGAAATAACCTGATAAATACGAGTATAATATACATTTTCAAAAATATTCATTAGGTGACGCTCAAAAAGTAGTCGCTCAAAGAGGCAAATAAATTAATTACATTTAGGGCAGTAAGGCACATTAGTAAATAAATTATTACTATTTTCACAAATAAATAAGTTTGAACAATATAATTTACAACTAAATATTATAATTATTTCAACATAAATACATCGGTAGGTACAAATTACTGATATAAATAATAAAAAAAATATTTATTTAAAATAACATTATTAGTACTATTACAGTATGACTAGAAATAATATATTATTATTCTATTTATAATTACATAAAACATCTATAATTACATCAATGTGACAAATATAAAAACAAATTTATTAAATTGTAATCTTAATTAATAATTATATTAATATTTTAATATATAACCTTTTTAGATTATTCAACTTTAGAGAAAACATTTTGTATAAGAATCTTGAAGTGCTTTTATTATTATTTTGGAGATTTTATCATTTTATTATTGAATATAATAGAAATATCTATACATGTTAAAAAAGAAATTCAACTACTGCCTCTGTGTTCGCGATAATATCAAAAACTGAACTGATTTTCATACGGTTTTCATATATTAAAACATTTCTGATAAAGATTTAGGTTTATATACCCGTGCAAAGCCGGAGTGAGTTACTAGTGTCATAATAATTACGTAAAAGCTATCACAAAAGTGTCACTGTTTTAATACTCACTACTACTAATATTATATACGACAACTTTTACTCTATTTTTTATGTAATTTGAATGCTAAAGAAGTTGACGGTCAACTTAATGGTATACCACATGAATATTATGTTATCCTATCACACCCGTGACCCATAAGTGCTTGAGTTACTATTCCTATTCCAGAAGATTAAGATGTCATGTCTCTTATCTTGTAATTCAATTGCCTACTTGCAATAATATCGAATTAAATCAATACAATACAAAGTACGCTGCTTGGTGGCTAAAATAGGTGAAACTGAGGTACCCAAGCAGATTTTTTATAGTAGTACTTTTTACCTTAAATAAATATATGCATGTCGGTCACTTAAAATAACCTATTTTATATAAATACATAAAGATTTTAGTGCAATTAACAAATATCTAATTGAATCTCAATTCAAGTTTTAGTATGATATATGATATAATATCCTTGGACAATTCTCACAGTGCCATCTAGTCCCAAGTTAAGAAGAGCGTGTGTTATGGGTACTAGAAAACTGATAGAAAATACATAGATATTTTTTTGTAATATACATAGACCGATACAAACAATGATACTAAATAAAACTATTAATAAAAATGTTTGTACCGTGCGGGGAATCGAACCCGCGACCATCGGAAGTAAAGCGGTATACTAAACCGTTACACTACAAAGGCCGTCATATACAAACTTAATTCAATAATTATCTTCCTTTCAATCTGGCTGACTAACATTAAAAAAAATACAATTTTAGATGATAAGCAATTTAGAATGTTTTTCTAAAAGGAATGTTATAGTCTATAGCAGGGTTGGCGAGCCTTTATGCATCAACGTGCCATTTTTTCCAGAAAATGTTTAATGGGATCATTGCCAGTGCCATCAAATAATTTTGACTCTCTGATTATTTGGAAAATAATAATAATAAATACTATCAAAACTCTCTATGAAATAAAGTAAACAAAAGAGGTACATTTTGGATTGTTTTCATTACACGCATAAATTAAATTACTGTAAAATTAGTGTGACTTCTGTTGCTGCAGGTTAGATGACAAATAATTTATGTCAGGCTTGTACGATGTTACTTTTTGCAAAATGCATGCTGAACTGGATTCATCTGTCAAACGGTTTCTAACCGAGTTTTTAATGTTATTCATCTCTGAAAATAATGACTCGCAGGCATGGGTAGGTGAAAATATTGTTAAAATAGCATGAGCCAGCTTCTTGATCGACGACGTGCCCAAAATATTGTATCGCGTGCCGTCAATGGCACGCGTGCTATTTGTTCGCCTACCCTGGTCTATAGTCTGTCCTAAATACTTAATAGTAATTTATATATTAACGTAAAATAATTACTTTTAATTTAATTATAAACTTTATTAAAAGTAATTATTTTATTATGTGACAGAACAAAAATATTAAATTTCTTAATTATCAACTAAAATAAGTTATTTGGTAGGCTATGTTAAGTAATTAATGTGACTTTATATTAAATGTCATATTAGTAGTTAAATGTCGAATTTTCCGAAAATGGATATAGAATAATTTAATGGCTTTAGTGAAGTTATGTCACTTACGGACCATTTATAACTTAGATCACACCAATTTCATAAATTTTTGACCCCTCCATATCTTTGTCAGCTGTCTGGTCAATATTTCTGAGACTCCCAATTCCTCAGTCATATATTTGGCAACCAGCATATAAATTGGATTTTTTTTAATAAATCAACTAAAATTATTGCATTGTTTCTTAAAATTGTTAGAAAACGCAGGTGTTGCCTTACTTCAGGACTGATCGAACTCAGTGAAATTTCACATAGCCATCTTATTAATATTATAAACGCTTATTATATTATAAAGTTTGTGAGTATGGATGGATGTTTGTTACTCTTTCACGCAAAAACTACAGAACGGATTTTGATGAAACTTTACAGTAATATAGCGGGCACATCTTGTAATAATATAAATGAACAAATGTGTGGCTGTAACTTTTTCACGTGTAAACGACGAAGCGGATCTTAATAAGTTTTAACATAGAGATAGATTGAATTACGCAGACAGATATACGATATACATTAGCTCAACAGCTGATCTGTTAACGAGTGTAATGGGGTGAATGTTTTTGGAGACAAAGTCGTGGGTAACCTTTAGTATAATTACACTTTTACTTATGCTAAAGGTGAATGTGCTCAGAATTCCACAATCTCATTCGTCCAACACCGTTCCATCACCGTACAACAAGACGTAGAGAGTGGCTCCATCCATACACTGTTGACATCCGTGCTGCTCGAACCAACCATTCTCAGAGTAGAACTCTCTATCTCTCCTGCCTCTTACAACATCGGGTCTTTCAAGTCACGAGGAAGGCACTATCTGAGCTTGCGTGTAACAGCTTAGACCGCATTTTCACTTAACATTATGTGAGATTGCGGTCAAACGCGCTCAAATATGGATATAAAAAAAACACAATTTAGAACGAACTGATGTAACTATGAAAACGAGTATTTAGTAATGTAATACTATACCTATTAATGCACTTTATCTGATCATTAATATCATTAAAACAGCTGTGAGTGTTGTAAATGAAGCAGGTGATATTGATGATGATGCTCCGGTGTGCTTCTCAACAATAGGTGGAGGTAACTGTAAAATAATGCCGAATAATTTATTACTTTTCAAATAAAAAAACAATTATATTACTATATATATTTTTTATATTATGTATATTTGTTGGCTTTGGTCTAACAGGTCAGCATACCGTTTTACTTCTGATGGTCGCGGATACGATTCCTCGCATGCTACAAACTTTTGTAGTCATCAGTTTGATTGTTTGTATCAGTCCGGGTGTTATCTAAGTATATTACGTATGTATTTACAAAATAAATGTACCTATGTATTCATATCAGTTGCCTAGTCATAACACAAGCTCTGCTGAACTTGGGACTAGATGGCGCTATGTGAATTGTCAATATTATATACTCGTAATTGCATTATTGCTGTAATTCTCCAAGGGTAAAACCAACTGATTAAAATATTCATCAGTCAGAAGTTGGTTATCAGCCGCTTCATAAGGGCTGGCACAAATATGATGTGGCTTTTGAGCTTTTAAAAAGAGGACGATCTTTTTAAAAGCTGTAAAAGCTAGCTAAGGTCTACAGAAATAATAATAATACACTTAGACGATTCACGAAACGGCATCCAGTCCATGTTATGGGTACTGGACAACTGATATAAATATTTAGATGTATTTTTTGTAAATACATACATAATAGATATAGAAAACACAGTAACGGGTAACTGATGAGTAGCGGGAAGGTTGTAAATAAAATCTTTAATGTGCAGACATATTCGTGTACCTTCACACGTCTTACGTGATAAGATTTCGTGATTTACTATTTATACGTATATTCCTAATAAGTTCATATAATTGTTATTATATCTTCCTGTAAAAAAAGCAGATTCAACATTTATTTAATACTAGCTTTTGACCGCGGCTTCGCTCTCGTTAAGAAGTATTATTATTAGGTATAGTTTTTGCGGCTTTACAGTACTTTCATCATATATTTTATTCCCTTAGGGGTGGAATTTATCAAAATTCTTTCTTATCGGATGCCTACGTCATAGTAGCTTTATGTATGCAAAGTCTCAGCCCGATCGGTTTAAAATTGACAAAGTTTCATACAAACTTTCATCTCCTATTTTATCCCCTTGGGGGTAGAAGTCATGAAAATCCTTTCTTAGCGAATGCCTACGTCATAGCATCTACCTGCATGCCAAATTTCAGCAGGATCCGTCCAGTGGTTTGGGCTGTGCGTTGATAGATCACTATGTCAGTCACCTTTGAGTTATATATATATATTTAAGATTACTGCTTCTTGCAAAAAATATTACAGACTCTTATCATATGTCAAATCTACCGTCAGTTCGGAATGATTTCGAAATGAGAAGAACTGACAAAAAACTCGGCTCGTATTCTTTGCATTTCTTGCATTGTTTTTATGATTATTATAATTATATGAAAAAACACTGTATTATATTCTATTTAAGCTTATAAAATGTAAACTCACCGTGGTAGAACTGGTAGTCGATCGGATTGGCATTGGCCTCGGATGTCCTCTCGGTAACCTCATGAAGAACTTATTCTCTTCGTGTCTGAAAGAAATAGAACAAGTCTGTTGTGGTTATAAAACTACTATTGCCGTACCTCTATTACATGTTCATAACTTTGCGGTTTTTATAAACAGAGTTAGTCAGATAGGCTACGTTACGCCATAATAAAATATATTTGTATATATAAATAAACTTGTGTTAAAATATATTTGTGTATATAATATATAAATAAACATTAATTTAATTTAGTTTCATATATCTAATAAGAAATTGATATATTTTATGTTTTCCTTAAATAAAAATAAACATATATTATTTATCATAATGAAGCGGCAACCAAGAAAAGATAAATTCTAACAATACTAAACCGTAACACTAATGAACGTAACAAAAATAAATAACTAGTAGTAACCTAACTAAAATGGAATTCAATTTTATTAATTGGAGTCTTGATGTCCACTAAATAAAGTCTACTTTCATAAAATGCATTCATGCTTTATACCCGTTTTTATGAAATCATCCATTATGAAGTTTCAAAAATTTACAGTTTATATAAAGTAGGAGTCCAAAATACTAACATATTGTATTTAACACACACGCATAAACTCTTTTGTTTTTTTGTTAAAGCATGTAGTCAAATTGAGAATAGATTAATATTGTTTGTCTGTAATATTATTTGTCTATAGTCTTACTGAATGTTGAATTAATTATATTTATTTAGAATTTCTATTACCGCAACCCTTTACTAGTCTTTTTCTTTTTCTTTGCACTATCACTCAATGTGAGGTTGGCTTTCCTAATTTTGCGGTGCCAGGACAATCTGTCCTGGATTGTCGCCAATTAGATCGGTCAGTTTTTCCCTCAGCATAAGATTTTTCAGGCTAGTCAGGATATAGCTGAAGGACGTCCCTAACTTCTTAATGTTCGGATAACTGTTAAGCTTTTTTTTTACCGCATAGAATAGAATAGAATAGAAAATCATTTATTCAAATATACTTATATTGAAGCACTTTTGAATAGTCATAACATTTTTTTTTTTAATCTACCGCTCATTCGGAATGCTGTCTCATCACAAGCAAGAAACTTGTGTGTTGCTCTTTTAAATAATTTATATTCCTTGTCTCTTCGCATTATATGATCATACCATCTGAGAAGGCTTTCGGTAAATTTTTCTGTCATTGGAGCTACTTTAAAACGACCGCGGATACATTCCTTTCCCACCCTATCTAGTCTAGTAACTCCACTAGTTACTAGTAGTCCAACAAAATTAACATTATGTGAATACATGCTTAATTTACATAGAAAACACCCAGATCGACACAAACAAACATACTCATGAATACAAATGCTTGTGCCGTGCGAGGAATCGATCACGCGACCATTGGTAGTAAGGCAGTGTGTTAAACCATTAAACTACCGAGGTCGTCAATTAAGTTAATTCTACTTACATTCTATGTTCCACCATGGCCTTATCGTCTTTCTCAAAAGCGGTCATGGGATGAGCACCAAAGTATCCGTTATTCTCAATTAACATTCGATAACAGGCTTCACGGATATCTGGATCGATTCTGGAAAGAGGTATGAAATTATAAGACAAGAGGCATGATATATTGTCCTCTGATAACGGAGCACATAACTGGTATCATGAGTGTCGCATGATAACGTGATATCCGTAGTGCTATTTGTGATTATAGATGTTGTTTGTTGTTTTTTAATTGATAATAATGGTATGTACATATATTTATAAAATATATATCTACAAGTAATCTATAGTACAAATGCACCTTTATTATATATTATATATGCAATTTCAAGAAGACTATTGGATAATTTTTAATATCCAAGGTCAAGATGTGTATCTATATAAGTAGGCTGAGATTTTGCATGCATGCAAGCTACTCTGACGTAGGCATCCCCTAGGAAAGGATTTAGATAAATTCCACCCCTAAGGGGATAAATTAACGCCAGCGAAGCCACGGGCAAAAACTAGTTTCCTTAAAAAATATGTTACCTGATTCCGTTTCTCCTGTATTGTTCATATGTATATTGCAGACGCTGTCGGCACGGCTCGTACTGTATCCCGCACGCCATCGTTACCACGTTGCTACGGAACAAACGACTGTTGCCATCTTGTTCTATGTTATCTGACATTATGCTGTATATTGGTGCTATTTTTTTTCGCAGAAACTCCTAAATGACAAATTAACCAAGCATTAGTCCTTGAAATAGAAGAATTTAACGCTTTACAGTCGCAATTGAGCTATTCACGTAAGATACTCTTACTAATACTATAAATGCGAAAGTAACTCTGTCTGTCCGTCTGTCTCAATTTCATGCCAAAACTACTGAACCGATTTAAATTAACTTTGGTACACAGATAGTCTAGATCCTGAGAAAGGATATAGGACATACTTTTTAATGCGCAAAGGGTTGTAAGGGGTTGAAAAGGGAGATAAAAAGTTTGTAAGGAGGTATTGTCATTTTTAAAACTAGAAGCTCGATAGTTATTTTTTAGGCTATTGAATAAATATAAATAAAGAAAAAGGGTTGTAAGAGGTTGAAAGGGGAGATAAAGGGTTGTATGGAAGAGTCATCATTTTTGCAGCTAGAATGATGCAACTTATTTGACTTTTTTGGGTTATATTATTAAATATTTTTTATTTATTTCGTCAAGTTCATTATTCTACGTGAACAAAGTCGGGGGTAGAGTTAGTACTATATAAATCCGCATATAATATAACATATAAAAAAAATTAATAACAGATGAGGTAGATACTATATACTTATAACGTATCATAGAGCATTATAGGTGTTGCAAATTTAGGTGGGGGCGGTTAAATAAACAATATTTTAAAACTAAGACTTATATACAATATTAAATACTACTTTACCATCTCACGAATAAATTACTGTATAAATCTTAATGAAATTTGCCTTAAAAATAGATTGTATCTCGAGGACGAACATACGGTCAGATAGAAACACCGTTGCATTTGTATTATAATACTAGCTGACTCGGCAAATATTCTTTTGCCTTTTGCTAAATTAATTCTTGGTGAAAATTTAGGATTTTGGAGTATTTTAATGCCACATAAATAAAAAAGGGTGGGTTTTAAATAGATAACGATCTGTTCTCAGACCTATCGGGTATACATATAATATGTCATCATAATCGGTTATCTCGTTACGGTGAATTATAGCAACTAACACTGTGACATGATTATTTTACATATATAAAGATAGATATAGAGATAAATAGATAGAAAGATAGATAACATATTTGAATAATATTAATTTACCTTCCACTCTTCATACAACATTTTAGTCATATTACATCTCGAGTTTTCGGTCTTCAACAGATCAAATCCTGCTATCACAGATTGCCACACAGTAGGGCTGCGTTCTTTATGCAGATAGTCGAGGATTTCCATAGCCAATTCTTGACTTATATCCCCTGATACGTACAAAGCAAAAGCATCGTTGACTAACTGAAAATATGGTTAATTTTGAGATATAAGAATTCATCAAATGTATTCATGTAGTGTCAATATCCTTATTGGGGGGAAGGGGATTGGTAGTAATGTGGACTCATAACCCATTACTAGCAATGCACCATGTCAGGTTGACCTCCACGCGGGTCCCCCTGGAAACCGTCGTGAGAAATTCCTGGTGAATTTGTCACGATGGGCTAATTGACCTGACCTTATGTTCATCTTATCATCCTCCACTGGTGCCCGCCAGCGTAAACCGTTAGCACAGGCGGGTGCACCATTCATTATTATTCCCAAAAAAAATATCCTGATTTTTAATTTATCACTAGTAATTGCATTTTTTTTATCTAATAACAATGACAAACAAGTAGACGGTCCATCTGATGGTAACCGTCGCTTATATACATACGTGATCAATATCAGGGACGTCATGTTATAAATCAAATGAAAATTTTTATTTATTCATATACAACATGTTAGCCGCTTATGAATGTCAAGTATTTTGTATTAACATATTTTTTCTTCTACCGTGTGATGTTATAATGTGATGGTAACATGTGTTATCATAGGATACGACTCATTCGGGGTCATTCCGTATAAATAGGATGTTATGACTACATATCCTGTAATTTACTGCCCTTCTAATTAAACGCAGTTTACAAAAGAAGCTGCTTCGAGACTGAAATAGGTGACACTGAGGTATTTCACGCCGATAACGTTTTATGAAATCTACCTTTGTAAAATGACACGTAAAAGAAGAATGAAGAGAGAAGATAGAGTAAAGAAGAAAGAAAATAAATCTACTATCAATTATTAACGTTATATTATCAATTAGGTTTAATAACTATTTCGGATTAATAAAGTAATTATATATTTGAAAGGAAGAAAGACTATCTTCTTTTGTTTTGGAAAAAAATAGTCGTAAATACAAATGCATTCTTACCTGTGCTCTAGTGAGTTCGTCAATGGAAGTATGATCCTCGTTCAAAGTCTTTGCAATAAGTTTCCACGTAAATTCATCGTAATTCACTCGATAGTATCCTGTTAAAATAATTTAAATTCGTTAAAATTTTCATTGAATTTCAAAACACAGAGAACAAAAATGTTGAAATTTGTCTTGTTTTATGTTATTTCTTGGTGTTTATGTCACAGCCTTACTAATTAAGTCAAAACTGCAGCCATGTATACCAGAATATGCAAGTGATAAATATAAATATAGTGACAATAGATCTCTGCAAGTCGCAGTGTGACAGGCCCTACACACTGCACCTGACAATAGTCCAAAACCCTCAATAAAAAAACATACACATTGCGGTTTTAGCTGATAGGAGACCGACAGTACCCGTTCATTATCCCTGCAACGGGTTTCCTCAAGTAAAATAAAAGCTAGTTAGTGGTATTTTGAGTCACACCAACAAACTAGGTAATTCATAGACCTTAGAGGTTTTAGCTAGTAGGAGCCCGGCAGAATCTGTTCGTTACCTCTTTAGCGGGCGGGTCAGATTTCCACAAGTAAAAAATAAAATAAAAGCAGGTAATTAACATTTCGAACGATTCCAGTAGGAGTCCGGCAGGACCCGTTCGTCTATATATAAGACACACCTGAATATAAATACAGCGCCAATAATAACATATCACACTAGCTTTTGTTTTTTTTTTACTTGTGGAAATCTTTCCCACTCGCTAAAGAGGTAACGAACGGGACCTGCCGGACTCCTACTGGAATCGTTCGAAATATTAATTACCTGCTTTTTATTTTATTTTTTTATGTAAGTAGTTTATTATATTAGAAGTAAATTGCAGATATATAAAGATATAATCAATGGTGTATAACAATTAGGGATCAGGCACGTAAGAAAATTTGTAAGTCTGCAGAAGAAGCCATTTTGTGTAGTTTTTTATTTTCCCGCGAAAACCGCAGTAGGAAGACGAGCACGTCATAGCTGTATGCGATGTAATACTAGTATGAGTATTAACAGCTAGTAATTTATATTTTGAGTAACTCAGCAACAAACTAGTTAATTCATGCTGACATTGACCACTCATAGCTACAGTATAGGAAGTACAAATTCTGCATAAAATGATGTAAGTGTAACTAATTTACGCGTAGCACACTAGTAATTCCCGCGTGGGATGAGTTCAGAAATAAATTATTTTATAGCAGCTGAGCAACCAAGGTCTTGACATTGTCGTATAATGGAATATACTGTACTGAATTGCAATAATGTAATATCAAAAGACAATTCACATAGCGACATCTAGTCCCAAACTAAGCTGAACTGGTCTTATGGGTACAAGACTACTAATGTAAATACATAAATATATATATTTTTGTAAATACATACATAATATACATAATAAACACTTATACAAATAATCATACTCATGAATACAAATGTTTGTACCGTGCGAGGAACGAACCCGCGACCATCGGAAGTCAGGCGATGTGCTAAACCGCTACACCAAGGCGCGTTGTATTCAAATACAGATTTCATAGTTTCATTCATAATTTAAAAGCTGTGTTCTTATCGGTGCTGCTTCCGCCACCTTCCACGATCTTCTATCAATCATTTTATCTGTTGTTACGAGACGACTCCAACTTTTTCCTTAACTTGCTTGATATATCTGTATCTTGGTATGTTCAAATACACGTATACCAAGCGGAAAGTGGACATATCAAGTCTTTTTTTCATTGACGATAATAAAATGGTGCATCTACATACGCTAACGGTTTACGCTGGCGAGACACCAGTGGAGGATGATAAAATGAACATCAGATCAGTGACAAATTCACCAGGAACTTCTAATTATGGTTTCTAGGGGAAACTGTGTGGTCTATCTGACATAGTTTATGTCCTATTGATGATTTCTCAAATCAGTGCAGTTATTCAGAATTTATTTACATATATATATTCAAGGACAATCTCAATAACGGTTTTTATCTCCTCAGGATAAAGTGTGTATTTTCCAAAGGAGATATTTCGTTTATGCATGAATGGCCTATAACCATGTAGCATGTGTAATGCTGGTTCAGTTTACTTTTCCTATAGAATTAGCTCTCTCATTATTATATTATTATGTACTAGTGACCCCGCCTAGTAGTGCCTGTATCTGTATACCGTATCACCTATACTTATCATCATCATCATCTGCTTTTTCCTTATCCCATTTATTTGGGGTCGGCGTAATATGTTTTTCTCTTCCATTCATCCCTGTTCGCAGTCATCGCGTTATTTACTTCCTATCTTACCATATCATCTTTCACACAGTCCATCCATCTCTTTTTCGGTCTTCCTCTGCCCTTATAACCAGTACTTCCTGAGATTAGCGCGTTCAAACAAACAAACAAACTCTTCAGCTTTATAATATTATTATATATCACCTGAAGAAGAAGCTGAAGAGTTTGTTCGTTTGTGTGAACGCGCTAATCTCAGGAACTACTGGTTCGAATTGAAAAATCTTTTTGTGTTGGATAGTCCATTTGTCGAGGAAGGCTTTAAGCTATATAACATTACGCTACGACCAACAGAAGCGAAGCATAAGTGAAAAATGTTGCAAAAACGGGGAAAATTATTCATATTTGAGGGCTTACGTTGTGTGCGCTGCGTAAACGGTTACCAAACAAAAAGGTAACCAAGTTACCAAAAATAAAATATGTATGAAAGAATTATCTCTCTTTATATTATCTAAAAACATGTCCGCGACAGTATATACCTATGTACATGTACACCCGTTCGAAGCCGGGGCCGGTTGCAGTCATTAATAACAGTTATGACTATATATTATATTTGTACGCACCTGAAGAATTCCTATTAAGTATTATCCATCCACCAAGCAAGTTCTCTCGGAAACTGTAGGTCTGCCGGCCAATAGTGAATCGTGGTTGATAGCAGTTATAACAGTTCTGATTGTGTTGTACCGTGTAAGAGATAGGAATCAGAAAATCTGACTCACGACGTCTGTCAGTGAAGCTAAAATATCTCTGGAAATTATAACAAAGACAGATAACGTTAAGATCCGATTGACTATATTAATAACTAGCTGTGCCCACGCATTATATTTCAATAAAAACATAGCCTATGTGTTATTCTGATGCATAAGCTATATTACTGTAAAATTTAATCAAAATTCGTTCAGTAGTTTTTGCGTGAAAGAGTAACAACCATCCATACTTAGAAACTTTCGCATTTATAATATTAATAAGACTAGCTGTGCCCGCGGTTTCACCCGCATAAAACTTATAGCCTATAAGTTATTCTGATGTATACGCTTATATTACGGTAAAACTTCATTAAAATACGTATCCTACACTAAGTATTGTTGAAGGACATTTACTTTTTACTTAGAAGACTTTAGACTTCTAAGGAAGGCTAATTTTTAATTAATTCAATCGCAATCAAATAAATTGAAGTTAATATTTATTTATGACAAATTAAATTGGATTTTGTCATAAATACCCACAAGACTATCCTCTCCCTATCACAAACAGTGCAACACACAAGTTTCTTGCTCATTGCTCTTCTGAATGTTTGATAGATTTAAAAAAATATGACTATTCAAAAGTGCATGTATTAAATTTATTAGTAACGACTATTTATGTCATTCTCCTGTGATGGACCACCAACATATACCATATACCATTTGTAGAGAAATATACAGCATCAATTGATTTAGAAACCATTCGTAAAATTAAATTATCAAGATAAATTTTTAGCACGAAAATTGTGTTTGAATAGTAAAAAATAATTTATTGTAATTACAAAGGCTATAAGTATCTATAATATATAATATATATATACAGCACAACATACATACAGTGAGTGTCTAAATTTCATTTATTGTTATTGTAGATAGTGTTCTAACGATGAGTTAATAAGTACATAATTTCAAAGAGAGAAGATTGTACTTACGTTTTGTAACGAATAAACTCAGGAAATACTTGAAAAAAAAAACATTAGTATACTGACCTGATTCAATTGCACTCTATCACCTGAGCTGTCTCTTAAAACTTGCACGTCTACCACGGGGTACCCTGAGTGGTGGAACCAAGAGGAGAGAACTCTTGATGCTGTGGATCCATTGAAAAACTGAAGTTCACATTCCACTGTTTCTAAATCCAATTTTTCATTGAAATCCTTCAATGATATAAATTTTCCCCTTCTGTAAACAAAAATAATTAACTTCTATAACAAGTTTCCAATTAATTGACAGCCTCGGTGGTGTAACAGTTAAGCATACCATTATACTTCCAATAGTCGCGGATTCGATTTATCGCACAGTGCAAACATTTGTATTCATGAGTATAATTGTTTGTATCGGTCTGGGTGTTGTTTTCTACGTATATTATAAATGTATTTCCAAAAAAATGTCTAAGTATCTATTTATTTGAGTTGTCTAGTACCCATAACACAATCTCTGCTTACCGTGGGACTAGATGGCGCTGTGTTAATTGTCCAGAGTTATTTATTATTATTATATTTAGTACCTTGCGCTAGCTAGATAATATGTAATTCAAGAATAATCTCAAAAGATTGTTGTTGGTAAAGTATATTATGCTATCACTGAATACCTAAACGATGAAAATGTAGGGTGAGTGTAAGATGTATCGTCCAGAAAAACGAGCAGAAGAAAATGTATTAAAGAAGAGTTTAAAAATATGCATTTCTCATCAATCATCTTTTTACATAACTGATAGTGGTATCCTACGGAATGGCAAGTGGTCTCGCGTTGTAAATAGGACTAATGTATCATACCTCTTATCCTGCAATTTCACTGTCTAATTGCATACTATAACTGAAACACAGCTTGCAAAGCAAACCGCTTGGTGATCTAGGCTGGGTACGCAGGCAGACAACGTTTTACAGTCTACCTCTGGTAGAAAAGATAATTCTCGATTTTTAATTCTATACTATTTTTTATTACTAGTTTGACTTTACCTGTGTGAATTTTTTGATCACTGTAAAGACTCATTACAATTCATTTAGAAGTTTTGCGAGAAAGAGTAACAGAAATTCATCCATTCATCCATCTACGCTCATAAACTTCCGCGTTTATGATATATTACATTGTATTACAGGTGAAATGTATATGCCTATATCTTATTATGATGTATAAGCTAAGTTACTGTAAAGTTTCATTAAAATCCATTCTGTAGTTTTGCGTGAAAGAGCTACAAACATTCATCCATTCATCCACACTCACAAACATCCGTGTTTATAATATTAGGAAGATTTTTTAGAAACAGAAATAGAAATATTCTTTATTCAAATAAACTTAATATAAGCACTTTTGAATAGTCAAGTTTTTTGATTCTACCGCTTATTCGGAATGCAGATTCATCCCAACAAGAATAAGCAGGAAACTTGTGTGTTGCTCTTTTAAATAAATATTGATTTACTTATATTTAATTAACACCAAGGATTAGGCATGCGACAATCAACATAGAAACCGCTACGCAGTTTTAGTACGCACTTTGAATTGATATATTTCACTAAAGCCTGATGAAATTTCTCCGATCCAATCCAATTTTCCACCATCCATAGTATTGAGGCTGTTTTCATTGTCACCAGATTCTTGTATCTCGATGGTATTTCTATTGCTAGAGTGTTGTTATAAGTAGCTAGAGCAGGCGTGCTCCGAGGCCAATCTAAGTCCATGGCTTTGATTTTCATTTCGAGTGCATACTTAGCCAATTCTTGACTATATATTGTATGTCTATGTTGGTGATTATACTGAAATTATTAGAATAAAATTTTATGATTAATATGAACCTATAATTTAAAACTATATTAAAATGTATTACTCAGAGATCAAAAAGTAAAAAAATAATGTTAAAAAATAAAAATAATGCAATTTATGTATTAATAAGATATAAAAGCTATAAAAAGACGATCAAATATAAATCTATAGTACTATTGTAAAGGTACAGAAAATAATATTGATTATAATATACCTGTGCCAAAAAATAATACGCCAAGTAAGTAGCTACACCTTCCTTAAACCATTCTTCTCTCCATCGCGTACGTTCAGTTTCTCCAGGATTCCCTAACCATATCCTGCATAGCTGTTGTGCTAATTCAAAGTTCATTTGATTTATCTGCTTAATACTGGAGTATTCATCTCTACAAGCTAATCGGCTTTCCCTGAAATATATTGCTTTTGAAATACCCTCTTGATACTGACGGTTGAAAGTGCAATGGGAAACAAGTGGATATCAGACCTTCAAAATTATGCCGTCTGAAGATTGACTCCATTAATATCATACCTCTCGCTCTAACACAACTTGTTAGCGAGCGATAAAGAGAAGTATGACGCATCCATATGCGTTTACGGTCTGCGCTGGCTGCATATTAGTGGAAAATGATTCGTTGAGGATAAAGTTTGGTTATTAAGTCCATCGTGGAAAATCACCAGCAACTAAACATGATCGTTTAATAGGAAACCGTGTAAAGGTCGCCATACTTTAGGGCAAAGTATGGCGCCCTTTACATGTCAGTAATAGGGCATTAGCACTCATTACTAGCAATTTCTTTCCCCAATGCACACGTGTTCGATATTAGATTTATTAAAACAAATAGCAAATAAATTAAGTCTGATTTATAATTCTAATAAATTTGACCGGTTTACACTCTTGATGTTTTAAATGAAGTAGGTAAGTCAATTAATTATTAAAAATATATGCTAAATAATTACGTTGGATATAAGATTAATGGTACGATAAGACGCTATCTAAAAATAAGACGGTGCATATGGCTTATGTTCTCATACAGGTAAACAATAGAATTAATAACAGATATTGAAATGTTTGGCCTTGACTGTTTGGCAAGTGTTTCAAATTCGACCGGCGAACAGTCTTCGAATTCCAATACCGATATTGGTAAATCAAAATAGTTCATCATGCCTTTTTTTCATACTTAAACGACAAACGATTAAGAGATTCTAAAAAATTCGACGTTACACTTTTTAACAGAGAGCAAACAAACTACCACATTGCATATTGGTATTTAACATCAAACCAAATCAAGTCAAAATAATTGTATTTATGTATGTAGGTAACTAACACTTATGACAAGTCCAATCTAGCATCTTTTCGTAATGTGGTTTGAGCCAAGAAGTACTGTTAATAAACTCTTCTCTTACTTAATAATTGAAACTGATTTAAATAAATAATAAAAATATAAAACAAATGAACCAGGCGAGTTTCTTGCCAGTTCTTTTCAACTGAAATTGTTAACCAAGCTGTTCGGTAGGAATAGTGATAAAAATTAACTTATAGTATATAAATTAGCGAAAACTGTATGAATAAATAATTTCGACTGTGACAATGTTGTTTTAAGTAGGTATAATGCACAACAGAGATCGTGTCCCAAAACGAGTTACTTTTAATCGATTTAAAGCAACAATTATTTCATTTTTATGCCGATTTGCGGCAACAATTATCTCTATAGCATCAGACGCTATAAATTTCACTTACCGATTCGTAAGAAGATTCCAGCTTCCAATTTCGTAGCCGTCGATTCTGTCCGACGGTATTGCGATTATATTGATCGGTCCATTTACTAATGGACGATTCACCGATGCGTATTTGTGGATCAAATTAATCACATCCACTCCAAAATCGAGTACGCATTGATAGTGGTTCAATTGGTGTGCCGGTGCCCACACTACCAGAGTGTCCTTGTGGTTTCTTGATATTTTTTTTATATTCGAAAAGTCGGAAATGTGAAAGCCAATTTCGTTTAATCTCACTTGGGGTGAAGGAACATAGTAGGTCACGATGCTTTGATCGGGCATACTGAAATAAAAAGATATGTAAATTCATATTGTGGCACACATACACATTATTATTATATTTGTATATTCTATATATCAACATTCACACTGTACATTGACAAACAACATTATAATTAATTATATTTATTTTATATCCACATATATTATATTATATATACTATAAAGGAACTATATTGCTATAATATCATATCACAATAAAACCTGTCTCCTAAACCTACTCACTTAATCCTCATCTCATTATTTGGTTCTGACCAGTTTATCTAATTTATAAGTTAATCTCATTGTATGTTTATGACTATAAGACTATAAATACTATAATCATAAGGCGTGTGATCCTCCAAAATTTTCATTATTATTATTATTAACTTATTATAGACTATCTGCCCCGCGCAATTTCATCTGCATCACACTTAACTTACTTAACATTATCATTATATTTCTCAATTTACATAACATCTTTTTAAATTACAGCCTATGTATTATCCTGACGTATTACCTATATTACTGAAAAGTTTCATTAAAATTTGTTTGGTAATTTTTATCTGAAATAGTAGCAAACATCCATCCATACTCACAAACTTTCTCGTTTATAACATAATAAGATTATCTGAGTAAATGAATAAATAATTATATGATAATTCACCAATGTTCTACTATAGGGCATAAATATGTCCCCATAAGTGGAGCTTTAGCCTGGTGGTCGACCAGTATATTATTAGCATTGGGCCATTAGTACCAGCAATCCCCTCCCATCAATTAGCTCCATTTGTCATAGTTATATCAGTTGCAAATGTTTGCATTACAGTTTTTATATTACCTGATACCTGTTACATTCACTTATGAGTATATTTAGCTTCATGTAACTTGTGTAGTACATTTAGTCGTCAACCACGGTGGTGTAGTGGTTTAGCACACCGCTTCACTTATAATGTTCAGGGTTCGATACCTCGCACGATAGAAACATTTGTGTATAAGAGTATGATTGTTTGTATTGGTCTAGGTGTTTATGTTTATATATATATATATATATATTTATATATATGTATGTATTTATAAAACCAAGTGTTTAAGTAGTCCGATTACTTGTTTAGTAGACATAACAGAAGCACTGCTTGGCTTGGGACTATATGCGTCTATGTGAATTTTTCAGGATTTAAAATAAAATCAGAAAGAATCAATAGAAGTCTGTTTGGAGTGACTATTTTGATGTATTTTCTACCAAACTTCTACGACCTTGTATTGGGTCAAAATATAAATACCGAAGAGTCTTAGTTAACATTACAGTTAAAGAAATAAAAGACCAACAAATATGTATGTATATATACCATCTGATGGAAAGTAATTGCAATTATTTACTTTTACTATAAATGGAATATGAAACTAAAGTTTCACAAAAATTAATAATTAATAGTTATAAAAATCAAAAACATTCTTAGACGCTTTCCACTTTCATTTCACAATATTTCCAAGTACTGTTGTGTAGGAATTAGAAAAATGACCGCTTTCCCTTATACCGTAGGTGGAAGCTAGGACTGGAAACAAATGTCGGGGCTCATTGATAGCGTTTACCGAAGTTTTAGAGATACAATATTTTCTACAATTCAATCATCTTAATTCACATGAAATCTTTTTTTTAAAATTCTTTATCATTTTCTTTATTTTTTCTTTATTACATATAAAAAATATACTAATAAAAAAATATACATATATAATTATTTTTCTTATGAAATATATACTTTCCAAAATTTCAATAAATAAATAAACAAAATTAATGACTACTCTAAGTGCCCGGCCAAATTTTGAATTTTTAATGTTTATATTTCTATAGGAAAATATTCTTACATACATATTAATTTATATCAAATGCATTAATAATCTAGGCTAATTTTAAGGGTTCGTACATTCTTGCTCCAAAGATTAGCACAGCAATATAGCAAGTTAATCAGTCTTAAAACTCTGCCGCGTGGGCTTTCTATTATTAAATTGTATTATTACTGGCAGTTGTACTAGATGTTGTATTATTTATTTTTTAGTTTACCGCGTATTTTTAGACTACAGTGGTGGAAATCAAATATACGGCCTAAACGGTTTATCGTTACCATACCACAGCCTATGAACGCCTTATTATTTTTATTTATATCATTTTTATGTGATATGTTATAAAAAAAGGTAAAAAAGGTTGCTCAGGATATTCTCAAAAGAAGACCGGGAGAATACTGTTAATCATTATTACGTATCCGCTGTCAATAGGGCCTGATCTTATAACAACATATCCATAAAAGGCGCCAATGTAACAGCGTGTACTGAGAATTGTGTCAATTATTGTGGTCACGTATGATGATACTTGGTTGACTGGCTTATAGAAAATTTATTTAAAATCATCGGCCCTTTGTGTTCCTTTTATATATATTTGGTCAACGGTTGATCAGTAATATTATACGTCTAACAGTTCTATCTATACAAAGACTGGAGAACTAATTCAACATCGCACGGGTGTATAGTGTTTAACGGGAGTTATATACATTATAATTATAGTATCCTTGGAAAATTCATACAACTCCATCTAGTCCCAAACTTAGCAGAACTTGTATTATAGGTCCTAGACAACTGATATGAATATTTAGATACATTTTTATATTATTTCGTAAATATATGCATAATACATATGCATTATTCTATAGTAGTAATATTAGAAATAGGTAAAGTTTGTGAATTTGGATGTTCGAAGTAATCGCTCGGTCAAAAAAGTATATGTTGTGTATTAGCTTGTTACAACTTGATTTACTCTAATTCTACACTAGTTATTAAGACTATTTATATTAAACACTACATGAATTACGTGACGTCAGATAAAACGACTTATTTAACGTTTTTTATCTAATTTATTTAGTTAAAACTTTATTGAATTTTGTACAATATACAGCTTAATGCTAATAGCATTCTCTACCAGCTAATATTAGCGAGTGCAGAGATACTTGAAGCCGGTATGTATATCAGTATCAGTCTGTATTGACATACACAAATAATAAAAAATCCTTAGAGTATTAGAAGTCAGGAAATATATAAAAAAATACTTACACTTGTTTTCTCTGCTCTTCTGATATCGTCAAAGATTTGTTAATAGATTCCTCTACTGTTAATGAGGTCATCATACGAACAATGAATTTGAACACGGCTTCGAATCTTGGATTGGCGAAGCTGGGGAAGAAATATTTCGCCCTATTGGGAGACAATCTTGTGTTCACTATGTATCTGAAATGAAATAATAATCTTGTTTAATATATTAGGATAATAGTAAAATTAGAAAGTGTTCGATTAAATAAAACATAAAATTAAAAATACTGAAAATAACGAGACCTTAAAAATTTTATAGAAACAGAAATAATCTTTATTCAAATAAAGTTAATATAAGCACTTTTGTATAAGTAGTTGAATATTTACTGTTAACACAAGGCGCCGTACGCATATACGCGCGCGCATATATCAATAGGTTATCTATATAAATAGAAAAAGAATTTCGCGGTTCCTTCTACAAACTGAGAAATTCACTAGGAATTTATCACGATGGGCTAACTGACCTGACCTCTTGCTCATTTTATCATCCTCCAGTCTTGCCCCGCCAGCATAAAAAGTGAACGAAGCGCACCATTTTATTATCATCCACGAAAAAACAACAGAAATAAAAATGTATTTATTTATCTTTATTCAAATAAATTTAACACAAACACTTTTGAATAGTCTTATTTTTTTTATTCTAGAAGTAATTCGGAACGCACACTCATCAGAAGAAGAAAGAGCAAGAAACTTGCATGTTAGTCTTTTAAAACATTTTTTCTTTATCATTCTTTCTTTATATATATATTAATATAATCACACATACAATTCGTGTGTTTATATTTCCTCATAAATGCTGGAACAGTTTGGATTAAATTTTGTGTGTAAATTTTAATGTGTTACTGGGTGATTTGAAAACACAATTGGACCCGGTAAGAACTGCGAGTTTTTCTGGGCATGATGACATCTGCCTATTCCTCTAATACTTACATACATATGTATAGTTCAAATGTTAATACTTTTATTTTTATACTGTCTTTACACTTCATAGAATGAATGTGAAGATGGTATTTTAGCATATAAATTAATAATAACACTATTAGAATTAGGGATTGACTGTTAAAAGTTGAAAATATTGTGTTGTATATATTTATAAAGCCGAATACGAAGCATAAAAATATTGTCCAAAAAAATTGTACTGGACCACCCCTATCTCTTGAGGGTATGAAAAATAGTTTACATTCACACATACTCAATATACACAATAAAATCAAATTAATCGGCATAGCATTTTTAGTGGAGTTTTATGATACGATAATTTTACACATAACATATATTTTATGAATCATTAAAAAAAATTTTTAATTGGTTGTTAATGGTCCATATCAAAGATGTTCGTACTATTTATCAAATCATATCAAGGCCGTCTTAGAAAACAATGGTTTTTGGCGTGGTAAACGATGCGTGTTATTCGAATAGAGATACCCAAATATCGACCTACTGTTTCTACGGAATGTAACTTCGAAAACATCATTAGAAATATTCGGATACAGCCCTATCAAATTCCAGGCTAACCAGAGCTTGTGTTATGGGTACTAAACAACTGAGAGAACCACATTGCGAATATAAAATTGGAGTGTCTGTTTGTAATATTGAAATACCCGTTTTTTATGAAATATGAATATAAATATGGTACATACACCAAAATAACGTTTTTTACAATTTTTGTCTGTCTGTCTGTTTGTTCTGGCTAATCTCTGAAATGGCTGGACCGATTTTGACGGGACTTTTTTTGGTAGGTAGCTGATGTAATAAGGAGTAACTAAGGCTACTTCTATTTTAGACGCGGATGAAATCGCGAGTACAGCTAGCTCGTAATAAATTTAGCACAATAGGCACGCTAGGCTAATTGATCTAACATCCTCCTTGCTTCCTGTATTGTTCATTCTATTAGCGCAAAGGTTATCATTATTCCATCATCATTAAGAATTAAAACATTTATTATTTTATCAAACTGCTATTATAACCTATTTTAAAAGCATCTTGGTTGCGGAGTCATAATTTAACTATAATAAAATTCATACTGAAAGTATCTATGTCAACATAATTCGTATTGCATAGACAATTTTAAAAAGTAAAACAAGTAATACACGTTAAATATTGCAATTAGCAGTAGAAAAGTTCATAGTGGATTTCGAATATATATATACATATTAGAATACAAAATTTTTTTTAAAAAACAACAAATACATTGAGCATCTTATTAGATTTTTTGTATAATCCAGTTTATGCGACATTCCTAGCTCGTGCCATCAATCAAGCATGCTAGTGGGTTGATGAGTGCCTATATAAAAGTACAACAAGGTCAGAACTTCGATTAGGACCATTCATACTGAAGTGTCGTAATATTGACATTACATGTAAATTTATAAAACGAATAAAACAGGAGATGGGGTATTTTTATTTTTTTTATAACACAAACGAGCATGCGGCTCACCTGATGGTAAGTGATTACCGCCGCCCATGAGCACCCGCAACACCAGGGGAATTGCAAGTACGTTGTCGGCCTTTTAAAAAGGAATAAGCTCTTTTCTTGAAGGTTTCAATATCGTATCGGTTCGGAAATACCATTGCTGGAAGGTGATTCCATAATGTGGTTGTGCGAGGCAAAAAGTTTCTAGAAAACCGCACTGTGGAAGACCGCCATTCATCCAGATGATCAGGATGGTATTTCAGTTTCTGGCGGGTGATACGGTGGTGAAACTCAGCAGCTGGTATTAATCCGAACAATTCTTCAGAACACTCCACGTGATATTCATTATATTGTTAATATAAAGAGAAATGATTTGGTTTATAAACTTTTTATTCTTAGTTGATTAACTTAACCAATTTTAAAAACTCTTGCAGTTATTGATAAACATCATCATCATCAGCGAGTAAGGTAGGATATATTCCACAATGCCATGGGATACAGCTAGCCGTATGGAGTATAGAATATGAATTAGCTATACTTTTATTCATTCCTTCATAATTTTAGAGTTGCGCTCTTTTCGATAGATCTTCTATCATTTCTCACGATCTTCTCTTACTATTTTTTTTTAAATATAAATGAGTTTGCGCTTTATCTAACCTCATCTAATGGAAAATAACGACAAGACCTAGGGATGTAGCGCGCTTATCCAGAAGGACTTGAAGAATCGGAGGTTATATTTCTCTAGGAACGCGAAAGTTGGAAGCGTGTTCCACTCTTTGGCAGTCATCATCTGCCATGCGTATTAGAGAAGACAACACGACCCGCTCAGTACGAATATATGGAATTTCCACGACGTACGAATAAAGTACTGATGTTTATTATCTAGTTCGGTGATAAAAAAGGGAAGGCATATTATGCAGGTCCTGCGCACACTCGCCAAAGTGTGCCTCCTAAAAAACACCGACCTCCTAACTTTGCGTCGATGTTCTTGCGTCTGATCTTTGAATGTTGATTCGACTCCAACTTCTTCCTTAATCCGATTGATGTAACTATATCTTGTTCTTCATCTCTCCTTCTTTCCTGATATAATGAAACATAGTGCCATATCAAGCGTTACTTTAACCACAGATAACATAATATTACATATTTAACTAAAATTTCGCAAAATATTTTTATAACAACGTAACAAGAGAAATATGTAACTCCACGAGCAGAGCCGCCGTTAAGAACTAGTTATTTATTTCGGGTTAATAACCAATATCCGGCCCCGTGTAGAGCTGTGATACAATAATAACAAAGGTTTGCTAATTACCATAATAAATACGACGCTGCGGCATCGTCTCGGCTCGTTAGCTATACAAAATGGAACAATCGTTATATGCTACAGATAATTTGCATGTATTAACAAAGTAGACAAGTTTATTCTTACTAAAAAATATATTGAATTTGTTAATGTTTTATATTGAATTGTACCGATCTAATAATATAAATAGTTGTGGCCCGGATCTCCTCCAACATGCTGTCCACCCTCATGAAGGAAGACTACTACGGAGTGGAGTTATTATATACATATTAGTCCTTAAGATATAAAATATGGACCAATATTGTAATATAATTAAGTTGCCTGAAATAAAATAAAATATGAATCTATCTCAGAAACCATAGATTTCTTATAAACTTATTACAGGTTTTTTATTATTTATTATTATATATAATATATTTATATTTAATGAAATATATGAACCATATCATATGTGCTATAATATTATCGAATGGATTTAATTACAGATATTGTCACTATAAATATTAGTTAAATATTTATTAATTATAACACAATTAATTTAAATAAATAAATAATAAATATGTGTATATTAAGTATTCTTTTACACATATTACATATACCCAAAATTTCCTGAGATATCATCACAAATGCCGTCCCAGGTAATGTATGAGAAAATTATTATCCTTTGGTTATTAGATGTTTTTGTATTGTTAATTAAACAATTAACAGATTCGGGAGATAAACAATACAACAATTCAAAGATTATAAAAATCGATCTAGTATTATTCTTAAGATAAACGTGTAACAACACCCACATTTATTATTTAAATAGATCGGTGGCAGAAACAAATACCTTAATATAAAAGACATAGTGTATAACTCATATTGTAATCCCAAATTCAGAAACTAATAAAATAGTGTCATAACCCAAATGCTACTACTTCCGTAACTTTTAGATGTTAATTTATGAAATGTATGACAACAACACAAAGATTTATGGTTTTACGACAAATACGCTTTGGGATTACATCAAACAACGCTACGATTCATAAAATACTACACATATGGAACAAGGTTATGATTTGTGATGCAAACTGTCGATAAAATTCTAAAAATGTGTGTGTATTATTTTACGATGACTTTCGTATGTGAGATACTAATTTTAGGATTCGCTTTGATAGCTCTTGCTATCATTTTACGCCTTCATTTTCTATTTTAAATATAACTTGGAAATTTTCTCTTTTTTTTAACTTTTGTTTTTTAAATATGTCTATATTATGTTAGGAATGATATACGTATTTTGGATTATATAAGTAAATTCGATATATGTGTATTCAATAGATAGATATTTTAATATATTTTGACGTTCACGGTATTCTCGCAGTTTAGCACACCGCCTTGCTGCCGATTGCAGTTACTCGCACAAAAAAAAAAAAATATGAT